CCACTTAAACAGGTGAACTAAATGGCAGACTGGTGGGTCCTGCTTCAACATCCTGTCCAACTTGCCGGACAGACTGACCAGAGGCTCCACTCCTAGAAGATAGATGCTGTATCTTGATTAATGATTATTTCAGAATTTCCTGGAGGGAGGGAAGTCCAAGGATCGCACATGCACAGTTAGAAAAGTCCTGATAGATGGGGGCTGAAGTCTTATTAGCATGCTAACATGCACACTGTGTATGGAGACTTTAGATGCTAATGAAATACATAACTTATGAAAGAGTGCTTGACCCAGTATAGCCCAGACACACTATGGCGCTGCTCCCCACTTCCCCACCTTGGTAGACCCCTGCCTTAAAAGCCCCTTCTTAGCTCCCTTTATGGAGCCAGGCTGAAATTTTTCTCACCCAGTACAACACCTCAATAAACTTTGCTTGGGCCTCCCTGGTGGCGCAGCGGTTGAAGCTGCCCGCAGCCTCTGCAGAGCCAGTTCTATCCCTGGCTGCTCCCCAGCCACTGGAAGAGGGTTCCTCATGGCGCGCAGACCTCTCCTGCCGCCCACTGCTCCCCTCAGCAGTGTACTTTGTCAGTCTGCCTGTTCTGCTCTCCGCTCTGGCTCTGGTGAATTTTCTCACCCTCCTGCGCTTCTGACTGTGCCCAGTGCTTGTATAAATAAATCTTTAAAAAAAAAAAAAGTTAAAAAAATAACATAAATAAATAAACTTTGCTGGTCTAACCCAAACCCTGACTGAAGTCTTTTTCTAGAGGGTCTGTAGGACTACATTTATTGGGGTAATCATCATCACATCTGTTAAAATATTATCAAAAAGATTAGAAATAACAAGTATCAGCAAGGACATGGCAAAAAGGGGCCCTTGTGCACTGTTGCTTAGAATATAAATTAATGCCAGCATGGAAAACAGTAGAATCCTCAAAGCATTGACAATAGAACTTCCATACAATCCAGCGATCTCACTTCTGGGTATTTATCCAAAGGGGGGAAAAAATTCAACTTGAAAAGGTACAGGCACCACCTTGTTTGCTGCAGCAAACAAGGCTATTATTTACAATAGCCAAGGTATGGAAACAACCTAGGTGACATATACGGATGGATATATACATGTATATATGCATCAGTGTTATTCAGTCATTGAAAAGAAATTCTGCCATTTTCAACAAAAATAGATGAACTTGAGAGCATTAGGTAAAAAGGTCAGACATGGGCGCAAGGGGTGGTGCAAGGGGTTTAGATACAACCTATGAAGCTAACCACAGCCACTGCAGCATGAGTTCGATCACCGGCCAGGGAGCTACGCACATGGCACAGCAGACCTCTCCTGACTCACCCGCTGTTCCCCTAGGCAGTGTATTTCAGTCAGTCTGCCTGTTCTGTTCCCCACTCTGTCTCTGGTAAATCCTCTCACTAACCCCCATCCCGCACCTCTGGCCTGTACCCCAGTTCTTATATGCATAAATAAATCTTTTTTCAAAAAATCAGACATATAAAGAAAAATTTCATTATGTATGGGGAATCTAAAAGATATCAAGCTCATGGATACAGAGAACAGATTCGGGGGGGGGGGCATAAAAATAGAAAAGGGAAGGAAAGAGGGAGGAAAATGGAGGAACTAAAGCCCAGAGAGAGCAAGTGACCCAGAAACTCCAACCCTTCCTCTCCCACTGAAGGCTCCCTTCCCCAACTAGTAGGTTTGTCACACATACTTTTCCTCCAAATTTTCCATTTTCTCCACATCACCACAGGCTGGAAAATTCAAAAATCAACTTCTAGAGTTTAGAGAACAGCTGTAAAATTCCTCATTCCATCCCAACCTGCCTCTTAGCAAACTTCATCAGGGGTGAGGGGAATGAAGACTTCCAAATAATGAGAGCCTACATATCAGCACTGCCAGAGAGAACTTTCTACCACGGTGAAACTGGCCCCCGTCTGTCCACACGCAAGTCACTATACACGAGGAGCTATTAAATACTCAAAATGTGGCAATGTGACTGAAGTGGGATCTTATTTAATTTTAATTAACTAGATGAAATTGGCACATGTGTCTAATCCAAGCCAGCACATTATCATCACCTTGACCAAAAGAATCCATTCACAGTGTAACATATGCAGATGTGGAATTATAGTGAAGTACATCTGAAACCTATGCTATAAACCAATGTTACTTCAATTTAGAAAATTTAATCCATTTGTTAGAAAAATATGTTTTGGCCACTATATGGAAAGGAACTTGTTAATATTATCCAGCAAACATTTGAGCAGAAGGCATGGTCTCTGCCTTCCAAGAGTATAAAATAGAGCAAATAAAACATGCAGACAAATAGCTAGACTCAAGATTTCAGGGACTGGGGTCCCTCTCTGAGAGGAAGTTACAGGGCTGGGTTAATGGGAGATTTGCAACTGAAACAGCCTTTAAAGGTTGACAGTTGTATAGTGGAATGGACACTAGACTTTTGGTGGCAATCACAATGTAATATAAAACCTAGGTGTCAAATTATAATACAATGCTGTGCACCTAAAGCCCATATGACGGCATAAATAAAAGGTTGTGCAACCAGAGGGGCTGCGAGGGGCGGGGGGTGGGGGAGAACATGGGCATTTTAAAGAAAAGGCAGCAAGGTTAAACAACAGAAATGGGAGTGTATAAGGTCCACTCAAGGGACCCCAGGAAGCCCAATCCCATTCAAGGGGCAGTTTCATGTCAGGGGAGCATGGGAGAGAAAAACAGAAAGGTACATGAGGATCAGATTCCAAGCATAAAAAATGAGAAGTCTAAAGATGGAACAAGGGGAATAAAAAGACCAATTACAGGAAGATGGCAGAGGAGGAGGAGAGTAGAGGATTTTGGGTATGATTAAATGCCACACTGGGGGTGACAAGATCATTCAAATTTTTTAAATCCAGGGTAAATGGACGATTGCTGACGCCATTAATGGGGCAGACAGTGGGAGAAAAGGAAAACGTCTGAAGGTTCATGATAGCCAGATGTGATCAGCAAGCCCCTTGAGAAATTGGAAATAAGACTGAAGAAAGAGCAGAGGATCTGATATCTGTGGATCAAACCAGAGTGGAGGGGAAGAGAGGAGAGAGAAGAGGCAAGGATAGTCTCTGCATCTGATGAGAAATGGCCCCTTTGCAGGGGTGAGGGAAGAAGAGTTAGAGAACAAGCAACAAGAAGTAGAATCCCCATCACAGGGACAGGGGGGGGAACTTCTCACTGTAGACACTGCACCTGTTATGTGTCCTGCCTTCTTAATTGGATTCTATGCTGTACAAACATGGTGGCTATGTTATATTTTAATCCCAATGCAAATAAAATCCTATCTGAATAATTCAAAACTTTAGGAGGACACAAGGAGGGGCCTATAAAGGCCCCAAGAAGCACTTGAGCCCTGGAGGTTTTCCCTCGGTAGACAAATTACCCCAGACTAAAACACAGCTCTCATCCCACATAACAAAGCTTCAAAGTAAGACCCATGCTTGTATGTGACCTGGGTTGCCGGTTCTCAATCTTGGCAAAGATTCAGAATCACCCAAAGACTGCTGGTGCCCTACCCCGCAGCCCCCACAACATGTGATTTACAGCCTGTGCAACTGAAACCACTTTCAAGCTCCCAGGTGACTCCAATGAGCAGCCAGGGCTGAAAACCATCCTTTGATGCCAGAGACATAGAAGTTTTTAACTCATTTTCTTAGAGTGTCCCTTAGATCTTCCCACTACTGGTGCCGTTGTTACATTCATGTAGCACACTGTAGTTGGCAAGCACTTTTTTGCAGATTTCAAGATGGTGACACCTATTAAGCACAGTCTCCTAGCAGGAGTTGCACACATCATGCACTTCATCCTTCCAGCACCCTGGAGAAGCTGGGTTATCCAACTAAGACCCCACAAATTCCTGACAGCCAGGAAAGCTGACCCTAGAGCCCTCCTCATCAGCTGATGTGCCACTGCTTCCCACCCAGCAATCCTACAGTTCACGGAAGAAGGGTGGAGGGGAGCATCTCAGACTTTGCGATACAGGAGAAGAATCAGCCACAAAACTTGATGAAACCCACCTGGGACCATCTGCCTTTACCCAGCTTCATCTAGACATGTTCCTTAAAGATAACTGGTCAAGACAAGAGAGTGTAAAAGTTCTTTCTTCTCCTTATTCTTGTCCAACTGTACACCAATGGAAACAAGTTTACAATAGCTTGCACTTCTCTGACCAAAGAAACATAATTTAAGAAATTCAAAGGACTCCTCTTCCCTGGCCCATCAGCCTCCAAAAGTCTAACAAAGGGCCTCCCTGGTGGCGCAAGGGGTTAAGATGCAACCTATGAAGCTGTCCGCAGCCTCCGCAGCACGAGTTTGAACCCCTGGCAGGAAGCTACCCACATGGCCCAGCAGACCTCTCCTGACTCACCTGCTGCTCCCCTCAGCAGTGTATTTCAGTCAGTCTGCCTGTTCTGTTCCCCACTCTGTCTCTGGTGAATCCTCTCACTGCCTCCCCCTCTGGCCTGTACCCTGTACGCATAAATAAATCTTAAAAAAAAATAAAAGTCTAACAAAAACATCAAGATTGTCCCAACCTGGCCAAGGTTATTTGATTTGTTTTAGGTAAGGCTGGTTTATATGATTTAGGGTACTGGTTCACACCTTTTCAGGTTTATGTAACCACCCCACACCCACCACCCAGGGTTTTCTATCCCTGTCTGACACTTTCTGGGCTGCAGGAAAGGCACCCGGGACACCTCACCCATTTTCAACATCCCTGTCCCTCTGAACAAAGAAACCGAGGTCATGGCAGCCGCCTTCACCAGGCCCTGCAAGGTGGGCTCACCGAGCGCCAGCTGACAACACTGCAGCCTGTAAAAAAGCTTGACAAGCTGCAAGAACACGGTGATGCTGCCTGACCAAGCCTCACAGGGGCAGGTCTCAGCACAGCTTTTGGAGTCTGAAAACCCAGGCTCTGGCGTCCTGGGAGCAGGTGCGGCCAACTTACCCGCAGGAGCACAGGTCACAGATGCATTTCCTCTTCACTGGAGCCATCTGGAGGCCCGGGTGTCCGCGCAGAGCATGCCCACCACGCCGAGAGCCCCAAACGCCTCCCTGGGGACGCGCTAAGTCGCGGTGGCCTTGGCAAGTGTTCTGACTATGTATTCCAAAGAAAACTTAAGTGGTCCGTTTGCAAAGTCTGGCTGTCTGTTCCCCTGCTTGAGCGGGCCTTGCTTGAGAGCAGCACCGAGCGTGGACAGTGCCAGGCCCGCGGGCTGCCCCTGACGCCGCTGCCGGGTTCCTGCACACCCGCACCCACGCACCTGGAGCGCCTGCGGGGCCTGGACTAGGCTCTGTGACGTGGCGAGGACAGGAGGTGCGCCTCTGGGGGACAGGAATGTCACAAGGGTCGCTTGTGAGGTCAGGAAGCGACCTCACCTGGCCCAGCACCTCACCTGGCCGGTCCAGCATAGATTCCCCGTTGGACCTTGGAGAAACCTGGAGGTGAAGGACAGGATGACTGTGGAACGCTCCAGGGTTTGCAAGTCAGGCAGTGTCGTGACCACTTGTGGGGAAAGGCTGACACTCCCACATTAGGTAGCATTTTCCCAGCTCAAGGATGGTCCCTGTGCTTCTAGAAAGGCCTCTCTTGCTGTCCAGAAAGCGGGTGCTATATATCATTTCCAAATCTTCCTTGTGGAAATAAGCGTCTCTGGCTTTCCCCGCATTCAAGCTGGAGAACAAAGCCGTTTCCCGACCCCGGGGTATTTATAGGTGGGGGGTGGGGGGGGCGGAGAGAGGTGGGGGGGCGGGGCTCAATCACTTAGACAGATGCTGGTAATTATGCCGAGGGCCAGTGGTGCTTAAGTCTTAGTTGCATCAGATCACCTGGCTTGAAAAATCACGTTGCCCATGCAGCACGCCCCACCGATTCAGGCAGAGAATCTGCACATCTAACAAGTTCCAGAGCGGTGTAGCAGGCCCAGGGACCACCTGGGGAGAAGCACCGCTTCAGAGCCTGTTTTGCCCCCTCTGATTAGCCTTCCCCAAGTGAAATATTTCTTCAGCTTTCCTGAGAACCGCTGGAGATTCTTCCCCAAAGCCTCCTGCATCAAAATCTCTAGTCTGGGACTCTGGTTGCAATAAGGAGCCAGGTGATTCTGACCAGCATGCAGCTCACCAGAAGCTGCCCTGGTCAGCTGTTTGGAACTGAACCCAATGACACCGCCCCTTCCCCGCCTCCCTTGGATGGGAAATTAAAGTATTGATAATCCTTATACTTGCTCTTCTTTTTCACACTTTTCTAATGCTTAATAAATAAGTAGTGAGTTGAGGATTTGGGGGCTGCAGGTCACTTAATATTCTGAATAAATAATAAACTGAATAAATAATAAATCAGGGGATTTATTTTCTTCCACATTAGGTTCCTGAACAGAGATCAGCACACTATTGCCTGCAGATCAAATTCAGCTGGCCACCTTTCTGTATGCTCAGCAAGCTAAGAATAGTTTTTACATTTATAAGTGGTTGGAAAAAATTAAAAATATCTCATGATACATGAAGTTTACAATTCAAATTTCAACCTATAAGTTTTGAATTTTGTTTAGAAATTTGTGAAAATATTTCTGGTTTTGCCTCTTGGTCCACAAAAACTGAAATATTTATGGCTTTTCCAGTGAAAGCTTATTGTAAGGGCAGGACCTGGCCACCTAGCATGTTCTCTGATCCCAAGCAGACCGGGTAAAGGAGGAGTCAGAGTCTTCAGTAGTTTTGCAGGTTTTTTATTTGGGGTTCACCAGGCATATGGCAGGCAGGGGTGCTGGCTGGGAGGCCTACCAGGCCTCCCAGCCCCCCAGCAAGTCTTCACTCTATCTGGGCTCTCTAGCGTTCGTTCTGCTGCTTCTCGGCTTCTCTTTCGGCTTCTGCTTCGGCTTCTACTCTTTCGGCTTCTTCTGCTGCTTTCTCGGCTTCGGCTTCTACTGCTGCTGCTGGCGTCCCCGTGACGCCGACCTTAAAAGCACAGTCTTAGCTCAGCTGAATCCCATCTACCTATGCCCACACCCTATTCCAGGTGCCCGCCATCAGGCATGCATTCAGGACAAGGATTCATCATCTATCCTGATGGCGGAAGGGCAGAAAAGCCTGACATTTTCTTTACCCTACACTTATCAACTCCAACTCTGGAAAGTCAAAATGGTACATCCAGAGAGGAGCAAAATTTACTGATCATTCTTAAGAAGAGCAGAGGGTGAAGCTCTTCCTGGCCTTCAGAAGAGGAAGTCAGGGCTCTAGAAGGGAAAATAGAAAGTAGACAGCACATGATGGAAGAGTTGAAGCATTGGAAGCCAATGGAAACCTTCATTGACAGAGAACCTCACATGGCCCTCACAGAGGAACTATAGTGCCTGGCACCAGCCTTCTCTTGAACCCATGAATATTCCAGAAGTATGTCCTGCTAATGCTCTTGGTACACTAACCTGCCCATATTTTGTCAGTTCCAGTCAACTCTACCTTAACCCATATAAACACCTCTCTAACCTCATTCCAAACTGTTCTTGCCTGTGAAAAATTTACTGTCACTCCCTGTACACAAAATACTTCTGCACACTTTCCTGTCAGCTCTCATCTAGCTCTTAAAACTGACATAAATCTGTCATATCCATATTTCAATTCAGAACACTGAAACTAGGGTAAACACATTCAAGCTGATGAGTGCTAGAACTGGAATCAGACTTATCTTGGTCTTTGTTGAGTAAGTGAAGTATCAGGCTTTTCTGCCCTCCTGCCATTAGGACTGATGATGGATCCTCGCGGTCCTGAATGCATGCCTGATGGCGGGCACCTGGAGTAGGGTGTGGGCATGTGTAGATGGGATTCACCTGAGCTAAGACTGGGCTTATAAGGGCGGCGTAGCGGGGATGCTAGGAGAACCATAAGAGAGCAGAAGAAGAACCACAAAAGAAGCAGAGAGAACGCCGGAGAACCCAGAGTGAAGATTTGCTGGGGGCTGGGAGGCCTGACAGCCTCCCAGCCCTCCAGCACCCCTGCCTGCTGTGTACCTGGTAAATCCCAATAAAAGCCTGAAAAGCCACTGAGGGCTCCAGGACTCCTCCTATACCCTGTCTGCTCAGGTCATAGAGAACCTGCTCCGTGTCCTCCTGCCACTACAGTCTTTCTTTTCTAATTTTTCCACCCAAAAAAAGGACAAAGAAAAAGGCTGATGATCTTAGAGACCATTACCAACCATATTTTATCTTAAAACTTAACATTTACTGGCCTCCCCGGTGGTGCAGCGGTTGAGTGCTGGGTTGCAAAGCTGCCACAGCCTCCGCAGCGCCGGTTCGATCCCCAGCTGCTCCCCGGCCACCGGCGGAGGGTCCCACATGGCGCGCAGACCTCTCCTGCCGCCCGCTGCTCCCCTCAGCCAGTGTACTTCGGTCCTTCTGCCTCCTCTGCTCCCCACTCTGGCTCTGGTGAATTCTCTCACCCTCCCGTGCTTCTGACTGTACCCAGTGCTTGTATAAATAAATCTAAAAAAAAAAAAAAGAATCTATAACATTAAAAAAAAACTTATCATTTACTTAATATAGCAATCTTTATTTAAAATGTCCCCAAAACTTTACATTAAAATGACAGGTAAGCACACAATCTGTATTCTGTGGTCTTAAAACCCACCCTACACCTTACGCAGTGCTGTATACCATCTATTTTCTATAAAACATTGTTAAAAACCTATAGTTGTGCCTCTGATCACAAAGCACTTCAACAAAGCATTGTCTTCTAAGCATACTCAACTGTGAGGGATTACTAACCTTCACCGGCACCTACAGATGAGTAGCCCAATATTACACTCATTAGATCTCCCCCATTCAACCATTCAGTTACTCCACAAACATTTATTGATTCCCTGCGATGAGTAAGGCATTGTGCTACATGACTGGGGCCAGGGGCACTGACTTCATGGAACTTAATATAGAGGGAGGAGATAATCAAAATTTTACCTAAATCACTATAAACTGTCAAGAAGAAAAAATAGACCTAAGTGAATTCTATCAAATGTTTGAGAAAGAATAAACTAAACTATAAACTCACTTAGAAAACAGAGGAGGGGCCTCCCTGGTGGTGCAAGGGATTAAGACGCAACCTATGAAGCTGTCCGCAGCCACTGCAGCACGAGTTGGATCCCTGGCCAGGGAGCTACCCACATGGTGCAGCAGACCTCTCCTGACTCTCCCACTGCTCCCCTCAGCAGTGTATTTCAATCAGTCTGCCTGTTCTGCTCCCCGCTCTGTCTCTAGTGAACCCTCTCACCCTCCACACCTCTGGCTTGTACCTCAATTCTTATATGCATAAATAAATAAATCTTTAAAAAAAAAAAGAAAATAGAGGAGGAAGGTACAACTCCCAAGTGGCTTAACGAGGCCAGTATTACTTATACCAAAGCCAGATAAAAATGTCAAATGAAAACGACAGAGCAATATCTCTCAAGAACATACATATAAAAGTTTTTTAAAAATATTAGGGCCTCCCCTGGTGGCGCAGCGGTTGAGCGCTGGGCTACGAGGCTGCCTGTAGCCTCTGTAGCGCCAGTTCATTCCCCAGCCGCCAGCAAGGGTCCCATAAAAAAAAAAAAAGAAAGAAAAAAATTAGCAAGCTGGGCAAACTTAAACTTAAACTCCTCTGGTGATGCAGGGATTAAAGCCTCAGCACTATCAAGCTATTGCCAGCCACTGCAGCATGAGTTCAATTCCTGGCCAGGGAGCTAACCCACATGGTGCAGCAGACCTCTCCTGTCTCACCCATTGCTCCCCTCAGCATTGTATTTTAGTAGATCTGCCTGTTCTGCTCCCCACTCTATCTGGGGTGAATCCTCTCACCCCACCCTATCCCCACCCTACCCCCCTACACACCTCTGGCCTAGACCGTAGTACTTGTATACATGAATAAATAAAAATAAATCTTTAAAAATATATATAGGGCCTCCCCTGGTGGCACAGGTGGTTAAGCGCACCACTGTGAAGCTGTCCACAGCCCCTGCAGTGCTGATTCGATCTCGGCCAGCTGGCGAGGGTCCCACATGGCGCAGCAGACCTCCCCTGTCTTCCCTGCTGCTCCCTTTAGCAGTGTATTTTGTCAGTCTGCCTGTTCTGTTCCCCACTCTGTCTCTGGTAAATCCTCTCACCCACCTGCACATCTGGCCTGTACCCTGGTTCTTGTATAAATAAATAAATCTTAAAAAATAAATAAATAAAAATAAAAATATATATATTAATAAACTGAAATAAGGAACATATAAATAAGATCATATGCCAGGACCAAGATGAATTTATCCTAGGAACACAAGTTTGTTTTAACATTGAAAAATCAATTAATGTAAAATACTCTTTTACCCAGGCAGAGGAAGAACAAGCGATACTTCAGGAACGGTGAGGTCAGGAGCAGTTTTATTACTCATGCGTGAGATCCCAGACCTGGGTAGCCGGGTAAGGTCTGAGGCTCCTTTTAAAGACCAAGTTTCCTTTTATACACAACCGTGTCCATATCTGTTACTTTGATAATATCGTTTTTCAGCAGGCACAACCATTTGCAGCAAAGTCCCCAGACAAGGGGGGCAAGGCAAAGGGGGAAAGACGCAGGCACTCGGGGAGGGCCTTGGAGAGAGAGACCAGCTTGGCCGGCTGCCTGACCTTGTAGATAAGAGTGCTGAGGCCCTGACCATGAATCTTGAAAGGGAAGTTGCTGTAAGTAAGCAAACTTGTTGATTATGCCTGCATTGGAATGTTCATTGCACCTGGGTTGGAAGTTCTCCTGGAATCTTTATTATATTCATTTGCTCAATGATATATTTTCTCATCAATTTGTTTCAGTTAAGTAGCATGAATAAATCCAGAAATCTAGATGACCATAGTTAATACTGTACTGGAAAAATGGAAATTTGCTAAGAGAATAGGTTCAGAAGCTTTACACACACACACATGCACGCACGCACGCGCGCATGGTTTATGGGGAATCAGAAGACATTTAGAGAAGAAAAAGATAAACAGTATATTTTAATTAGCTGGCTTATAGAAATCATTTCCCTGTTTATTTATATCAAATCATCATGCCATATAAACAGCTTAAATACAAACAATTCCTAGTTTAAAGATAAGTCAAGATAAATTGCATCCTATCATTTCACAGACATGTAACTTGGTGGTCACTTCACTCCTCTTAACTCGATTTACTCCCTTGAAAACAGGGTTACTTTCACAGGGATGTGAGGACTGACTTAATGTGTGGCTTCCATGTTATTGTTGCAACGAACTTTGGATTTCTGGTTATAAAGTCTTTTTTAAAAAAAAAAAAAAAAGATCTATTTATGCATACAAGAGCAGGGGTACAGGCCAGAGGTAGGGTGTGGTGAGAGGATCCACCAGAGACAGAGTGGGGAACAGAACAGGCAGGCTGACCGAAGTACACTGCTGAGGGGAGCAGCGGGTGACACAGGCGAGGGGTGACACAGGCGAGGTCTGCCACACCGTGTGGGTAGCCCCCTGGCCAGCAGGGGCTCAAACTCATGCCGCAGAGGCTGCGAGCTGCTTCATAGGGCGGTGCTTAACCCCTTGCACCACCAGGGAGACCCCCCTGGTTATAAATTCTAAAGTCAAAAAGTACAGGAAAGCTGGTGTGAGAAAGTAACTTGTGTCAAAGTGGAAAAACTTCTGAGAGTCGGGATATCGCCTAGTAGGGATTTGCTGTCTTCTGAGAAGCAGGGGGCAGTCGCTTAAATTCTCAAGTCCATTTTCCTCATCCGCACGGTTTCCGTTTGCCCTGCCCTTGTTCCCCTAAGGCCAGAGCATCTGGGGGGGCAGCCTAGGCCGAGAGGTCGGGTCCCCCTCTGCTCCCGGGGTCCGCTGCTCGGGCAGCAGCCCCCCACGCCACCTCCCTTCCGGGGAGCCGTGCTGTGCTAGGCTGCTGCTGGCCACGAGGTGGCAGCACTCCCCAGCCGCCCACACGCGTCCCGCTGGACACCAGAACCCCAAAGCCCGAGTCCTCCTTCCATCCTCTTTTTCGGGGGCACCCGCCGGGTTTCGCCAGCAGCGCAGCCCGCCAGAGCTCGCGGGCGGGCGGGCCGGGCCGGCTCTCGCGAGATCTCCGCCGGAAGTGGGCGGCAGCGCGGGCGCGGCGGCTCTGCTCCCCGGAAGGCGAGCGTGTCCCCGGAGCTGCTGCAGCCGCTGCCCCCGGGCGCTCCCCTCCGAGGCCGGGCTCCCCCGTGGCGGCCTTTGCAGCCCCGAGCTCGCGCCCTCGGCCTCCCGGCGGCACCCCTGCGCGGCCCGGCCTGCGGCGCCTCCGCAACCGCGGCCCCTCCCTCCGCGCTGCAGTTAGGCCGCGCCCTGAGGCCCTGTCCGCGGCGGCTCCGGCGGGTGATGCCCAATACAGCCATGAAGAAGAAGGTGCTGTTGATGGGGAAGAGCGGGTCGGGGAAGACCAGCATGCGGTCGATTATCTTCGCGAATTACATTGCCCGCGATACCCGGCGCCTGGGGGCCACTATCGATGTGGAGCACTCCCACGTCCGGTTCCTGGGCAACCTGGTGCTCAACCTGTGGGACTGTGGCGGTCAGGACACCTTCATGGAAAACTACTTCACTAGCCAGCGAGACAACATCTTCCGTAACGTGGAGGTTTTGATTTATGTGTTCGATGTGGAGAGCCGCGAGCTGGAAAAGGACATGCATTATTACCAGTCGTGTCTGGAGGCCATCCTCCAGAACTCCCCCGATGCCAAAATCTTCTGCCTGGTGCACAAAATGGATCTGGTGCAGGAGGATCAGCGTGACCTGATTTTCAAAGAGCGCGAGGAAGACCTGCGGCGTCTGTCTCGCCCCCTGGAGTGCGCTTGTTTCCGAACCTCCATCTGGGATGAAACGCTCTACAAAGCCTGGTCCAGTATTGTCTACCAGCTGATTCCCAATGTGCAGCAGCTGGAGATGAACTTGAGGAATTTTGCCCAGATTATTGAGGCCGATGAAGTTCTGCTGTTCGAGAGAGCTACTTTCTTGGTGATTTCCCATTACCAGTGCAAAGAGCAGCGTGACGTCCACCGGTTTGAGAAGATCAGCAACATCATTAAGCAGTTTAAGCTCAGCTGCAGTAAATTGGCCGCCTCTTTCCAGAGCATGGAAGTTAGAAATTCTAACTTCGCTGCTTTCATCGACATCTTCACATCAAACACGTATGTGATGGTGGTTATGTCGGATCCGTCGATCCCTTCTGCAGCTACTTTGATCAACATTCGTAATGCCAGGAAACACTTTGAGAAGCTGGAGCGAGTGGATGGCCCCAAGCACAGCCTCCTCATGCGCTGAATATTGCCAAACGTTCTTTGTGAAAATGCTGAATTTCCTTCCCCTTTCCCCATCCCCTTTTTCTTTAAATTCATAATGTCGTGTGCTTTGAAATGTGTGCAGCTTACTACTTCATCTCTCTTCCCTACTCCCCAGTCTTTAAACCTTGAACACTATTTACTCAGCTATACAGTAGAGCTTCAAAGATGGCCTTTCTGAAGTTGGTTTGGTGTTAACACTAAAGTAGGTGTGTGGGTGTGTGGGTGGGTGTGTTCTGATTACCTGGTTATGATAGATATACACATCAAAGCCTTTACAATATCTTCCTGTATTCCTTACAAGACTGCAAAGATGGAATGTTACTATTTTATCAGCAAGGTATTAAAATGCATTTATAGAATTCTTGGCTTCAATCATGAATAAACATTTACTGTTAGCAAGTTAAAATATGGTCTCATTTGAAGTAATTTGAAGGTGGTTAATAGCTTAACCAGGTAAATTTGATTTTGTGACCCCCTCATTGTCTTAGTGATGTTTCACAGCAACTGTTGCGGAGTGGTTAAGAGGATGGGTTAGAGCTAGACACTAACATTCTAGTCCCTTCCCTTACTTAGCTGTGTGAACTGGGAAAGGCATTTAGTTTCACTGTACTTGTATCCTCATTAGTAAGATACAGATAAGAATAACTACTTCATAGGGCTGTGGAAAGGATTAAAACAATTGGAAGGCATTTAGAATGGTAACTGGCACATACTCAGTACTCTATCCACTATCATTACCACTTACTAAGCCACTTTCTCCAACCTCCACCCCCAAATTACTGGATGTGAAGTCTAAGTATTTGAGCCCTTAATAAATGCCAGGTACTCATAAGCACTTGATGTGCATTTTCTTATTTAATCCTCAATCTTCAAGGTCAGTCACATGCAACTGAGAAAACTGATGACCTTGGCTCATAAAGCTAATCATAGGCCATCTGATTATAGAGTCCCTACTCCAACCATTCCACCACTTCTCTACACACAGAAAAGTTAATCATAAAAATTGTAAATTTTTAGGTCTAGATTATGCCTTCGTACCAATCCCCTAATTTTACAGACAGGAAACTGAAGGCCAGGAAGTTGACTTCTCTCAAAGAATGGTTTTTTATGCATTCTCTTTCCCATCTCTATTTGTCAGGAAACTGGATAATAATGAACCAAATTCTTAGATGATCTACTTCTGGGGAAGGAGTCCAAGGTTTCTAATTGGAATGGTAATGTGCTATCATCAAAGAAAATATCCAAAATGTTTTAAATAAAATCTTAAGAATTTTAGAGCCAAGAGACCTCAGATCAACACCTCTTAGCGCTCATTTTGCATATGACAGGCTTTAGAATTTCCAAAGCTTTATATTTAACATTTATGAATCTCTGTATAGCAGCAACTACAGATCACAGGGTCACTACCCAAGAAGGTAAAAGAAGCTATTCAGGTATGTTATTAAACCTAACTACTAGGGCCTTTGGCAATTACAAAGACTCCAGATAGAAAAACTCTAAGTATTGATGTATTTTTTTTTATAAAATTTGAAATACATTTATTAACTAGTAATCAAAATTTAAAAGGCAGTAACAAAATACTTATCTGAATCACTAAGCCCCAAATTTCTTTTGATCAAGTTAGTATTACATTTTTGATTTTATAGTTTGCAGAACATGGTTCTTTTTGTTATTACATAGGAAATTCCAGAGCTAGATGATAGAATATTGTTTATTCAAAGCAATACTACGTAGAACCTATTTACAAATTAGAAGATTCACAGATACTTTAAATTTAGGATGTGGACTTGACATTCACAGTACATAAGGAGAAAAGCAGAAAGACAAGCAACTTACTATCAAGAGACTTTTAACAATCTTTACATTAAGGAAAATAAATGAATTTTCATCAATTTTAATATACTCAAGAGTAGAAAAAATAGGGTTTTCTTTTATACTGGTCTCAAGAATTCCTGTTTTTAAATAAAATTGATGTAATAGGTCATGGTGAAAGACAATTTCAATATACTTACGTTTTCAGTTAAGTTCCCCTAAAATGATTTCTTTAACCTCAAGTATTCATTATTCCACTTAACATTTTCATGTAAAGCAACATTAGATGTTGTCCTCCTTTAACATTTACAATTAGGATATTTTGGCATTATTTAGGGTTTCAAGTTATACAGAAGTCTCCACACCATCTTAGTGACTGAGTAAGGCACATTCTGTATAATTTTATGAATGTAATGAGAAAACATGCATTTACACAATAAAGTAGTCCTCTACTATTACTTTAATTCCATCACATAGGAGGCAAACCGGAACAATCCCAAAATGTCCTCATTTGCTAAAGATAATGGATCCATGCCATGGCCCTTAGTGTACGTATGTATGGACAAACAAACCTCACACAATTCTACAGAGGTATGTGTGTGTGTGTATAATGTATAACTGGATAACATCCATGAAAAGAATGATAAAGCAATAAATGAAAAATACTAAGTGCTGAATCAGAGATTTTAGAACACGGATAGGCCTATGAATATGGGAAGGATAAATTAAGACTTCCAAGGTAGAAGTGGTCTTGTAGAGTCTCCCCCTAGACAAAGACCCAAGTCTAAATCAAATTTAGAAAAGCCTTTATTAGCTGGCCAGCAACTGTCCCTCTTGTAGGGAGCAGACTCGAGCAAGGGGTGATAAGGGTTTTTAAAGCCAAAAACCGTACCTGTGAGTCTGCACTTACCACAGCATCAGGGTACAGAAGCCAAACTGCTGTTACAAGCAGCGGAGCATTTCACCACATGCCATGTTTCAGGTTCAAAGGGTACACACATCTTATTTTTGATGGGAACCCCGCCTCTATTGTTTAGGCCTGGAATTTTCCCACAGCCCCAACTTGTCCTAATGAGCTATCTCAAGCTCAGGCTTTGCGTGGTATGCTACATTTCACATTGCCCCCATTTCAGTCTGAGCGCTAAAGAACATTTAAAATTCTGATAAACCGGGGGATAAAGGTAAAATATTCCAGCTTCAGAATTGCAACTTAAGATTTCTAAAGATCTGTGCTTACCAAAGTATTTCAGTAAAAAATGGGAGATCACAATGGTAGGGTAGGGGCGATAGAGATACCAATGTAGAGATTATATGCCTTTATCTGAACTAGCAATGACCACTAATACCATTTTAAAGAAGTGACCAATATGCCTAAGGTAAAAGGCAGCTATGCAGAATATGCATAGGGAAGAAGCCAAAGACAATAAATTACAATCACAATTGTTTGGGGGGAAGTAATTTATTTTTATTTACATTGGCATAGAAAGGATAGGGAAGAATGCTACAAACTAGCTATCACAGGTATGATTCCCTTAACAATATGGCTTTTGTAACTATAAAGTCCAAAGACATTTTGATCTTTTGATTCTCAGTAACTAAGGGTCTCTCACACTTTACCAGACTTGAGTTTCCTTATCAAATAGTTACATCTCTAAAATAATATATATGCAATTGTATGCCTGCTTCTTAAAGGTACCAAGGTTAAATGTGAATCAATATCCTCTAGCAGTCAATCTCAAACTTTTTATTGAGCCTAAGATTTACCAAGGAAGTATATTCTAAAGTGCAGATTCATTATCCCCATTTTAGACCCAAAGAACCTACATTTTTAAGAAATCCTTGACTGCATTTCAGACAAGTCACTTAAGCTCCCTAGCTTAATCACTATCTTGTAAGGATTAAATGATTATGTATTGTCTAGCATGGCTGGCACTTAGTCCCACCTTCCTCCCTAACATGCTAATTCAGGTTTATAGATACTGGGTTTTCTTAAGGCAAATGTGAGAACAGTTTCCCAGTATACCAGCAGAGTCATTCATTTTTTTATATTAATAAAGGAATTCACCTTAGGAGAAACTTTTCCACAGCAAATCAGGTAAGTATATGTGCTTCTTCTTTTGTCTTCTCATAAAGACTGACCTTCAAACTGAGACTGAACAATTTAAAGACAGATAAACTAAGATTAAGCCCATCCACTTCAAGAGCACTACCTTCAACTTTTCTCCTCTCCTCGACAGTTTCTTGGCAAGGACATTTGGATAGTTAGAGCGGGGGCTAGATAAAGAGATACTGTAGGTGCTTTGGCCCTCCCAGTACCCTTCCTGGCTAACAGGACGATGGCATGTGTTACCCTGAATGTAACAATCACGCCCTTTTATCAGTCAAGGAGCATGAACAGTGGAACAGTGAGACAGGATAACATAGGAGAGCCTCACACCTGACTCCCACTTGGGTACAAAAGATCCAATAAGCAGACCACCTCCAGGAGCCATATCCTATATGTCCTGGTCTTTTAGTTACTTCAAGGAGGTCTTGTGGCATAATGAGCAAAACAGGATCAAATCCTACTACCAGTGATGTCACTAAGTGACACTAAAATTATTTAACTCCAATTCATTTTCTCAAGCAATTTAATTGGTGTAATTTTTAGGGAATGGATGGTTTTTGAGGAGGAAAGTAACAATCAAAAATTAGTTCCTTTCCCAAAAACAACACCCACCCAACACCCCCCAAAAAAACAATAAACAGACTAATTAATGTTTTAATTTACACTTAATTCTGTTAAAATATAAAACTAAGGTTAAATTAAATTCTCAAAGTCTAAATTAGACTAAATATAAAATTTTATACAACCCACGAAATGGATTTAGTTTGATATTGTTTCTAAAGTGTCTGGTCATCCTCCATTTTTTTCCTTTTTCTAAATTCATTATGCCCCAGTCTTCATTCATCACCTGCACTTTATTCCATCAATCACCTCAGTACAACCTACTTGAATTAAGAACATTCCCAAACAAACTGTCATCTTGACTACTTCCTAAGGCACTACTTTACTTTTTTTGATTAGTATCAAATGTTCCATAAAGAAACAATAAAAGTTGTATACTACCCTAAAATAAAAGTTCAGTATATACAAACTATGTTAACCTCCTAAGATACTCATCCTTTTGCTAATTAACTGAAGTTATAAGTTAAACTACTACTTTGCCTTTGACTTAATGCTTGCCAGATTATTCAAGAAACCAAAATAACTTCATACAACTTAATGTTTACTTTCCAAATACTTCACATTTCAAACCCATATCCATATAAAGACAGAAAACCCAAACATACTGTCCTTACCTGAAACATTAGAGGCTAAAAGGCATTTAAGAATTTTTAGGCTTTCAAAAAGAGTTACACTTCAATGTGTATGTAAACTATAAATCAGTTTTTATCCTGTGCTATTACTTCAATTTAAATGCATCAGAAATTAACTGGGGTACTGCTTCATTTTATCAAATCAGATGGAGATTCTTTTGCATCAAGGCTTTTATTCAGGATTTCTTCTTCTGCAAAATTATTTTTAGAAAGAGAAAATAAGAAGTAAGCATCACAGGAAAAAATTAAATAGGACAGATTCCAAGAAGTAGCAAATTTCAATCTTAGTAAAAATCTCACATGCAAATATTTAACAATGATAAAATGACCATAATTCTCACTGAAGAATTCTACCAAAAACATTAGTATGTCCCTTTTAAAATACTTTCAATTTACCAGTGCTTATCATAGGCAAGTTAGAGTGATATACAATGAATCTGTATCACAAAATCTCTATCTGTTCTACCATACTTTAAGAGCAATTTATTTGCTCTTTATGAAATTTTTTTTTAAAGATTTATCTTTATTTATTTATTTTATTTATTTATACAAGCACTGGGTACAGTCAGAAGCGCGGGAGGGTGAGAGAATTCACCAGAGCCAGAGCGGGGAGCAGAGCAGGCAGAAAGACCGAAGTACACTGCTGAGGGGAGCAGCGGGTGGCAGGAGAGGTCTGCGCGCCATGCAGGACCCTCCTCCAGTGGCCGGGGAGCAGCCGGGGATCGAACTGGCGCCACAGAGGCTGCGGGCAGCTTCTCAACTCAGCGCTTAACTGCTGTGCCACCGGGGAGGCCCTCTTTATGAAATTTTTTAAACACTTACAAAAGTAAAAGATTATGTATCCATCATCCACAGTCAGTAATTATTTATGTTAAGAGTTGAACTAAGTTCCCCTCCCCAAATATGTTTGATTTCTAACCCAAGACCTCAGAATGTGACCTTATTTGGAAATAAGGTCATCCCAATGTTGGGATGAGGTCAATCTGGAGTAGGGTGGGCCCTTATTACAGTATTTATATTATTATAAGAATATTTAAGGGCCTCCCTGGTGCACAAGGGGTTAAATCTCAGCACTACGAAGCTATCAACAGCCACTGCAGCACGAGTTCAATCTCTGGCCAAGGAGGTGACCCACATGGTACAGCAGACCTCTCCTGTCTCACCTACTGCTCCCCTAAGCAGTATATTTCAGTAGTTCCTCCTGTTCTGCTCCCCACTTTGTCTCTGGTGAATCCTCTCACTCCCCCACACCTCTGGCTTGCACTCCACTTCCTGTATGCATAAATAAATAAATAAATAAAATCTTTTTTTAAAAAAAAGCTCAGATCTTTTAAAAAAAGAATTTTTTTTTTAATTTTTTAAGATTTATTATTTATGTATACAAGAACTGGGGTGTAAGCGAGAGGTGCGGATGGTTGAAAGGATTCACCAGAAAGAGCGGGGAGCAGAACAGTAAGATCTACTGAAATACACTGCTGAGAGGAGCAGCGGGCGAGACAGGAGAGATCTGCTGCGCCATGTGGGTTGCTCCCTGGCTGGCCGGGGATAGAACTCGTGCTGCAGTGGCTGGTGATAGCTTGATAGCGCTGTGTTTAACCCCTGTGCCACCAGGGAGGCCCCAAAAAAGAGTATTTTACATGGCGCTTCTCAACCATTTTAGAAAAACCTCCCACTGTTTTAGCCAAGATGATTTGGATAAAATTTACCTTTAGTAGTTTTGTATTACAAAAGCCATAGGTTTCAATTTTTTTGGTTTTGTTTCCCATCCCTGTCCTATACCATTTATACACTATATACACATCATAAAGATTCTGTAAGTACCCATAAGGTGATGGGGTCCACTCTATTCATCCTATCTGAAGGAATAAGGAACATACTTTGTCCCATTTACAAGAAAAATTACACAGCACTCATTGCATGCTATTATTAAAGAGTAGTTAAGAGAGAACTTCAATAAATCAATATGCACAGGTCTAAATAAATCTTACCTTTTCAGGGCCTCCCTGGTGACCTAGAAGTTAGTCTAAATGCTATCACCACTACCGCCTGAGTTCGATCCCTGGCCAGGGAGCTAACCTATATATGGCGCAGCAGACCTCTCCTGTCTCACTTGCTGCTCCCCTCAGCAGTGTATTTCAGTAAATCCTGTTTACTGAAACAGAACCTGTTCTGTTCCCCACTCTGTCTCTGGTGAATCCTCTCACCCCCACAGCTCCAGCCTATACCCCATTTCTTCTACTTTATATTTATTATAAAGTTATTCTTCTTTATATTTATTATAAATAAATAAATCTTACCTTTTAAATTAGGTAGAAGTTCCCCAAGACTATTTGGTATTGTGGGCCTTAATCTTTGCTCCACTGGAGAAAACTTAATTAGTGGTGAAAGAGATCGTTTTCTTTCACCAAGCGACATTCGTAAAGATGGTTTTGTATAGTCGATATGCAAATTATGAGTGTCCAAAATGTCGAGCAAATCATCTGTTTGCATGTTTTGAGGAGTAGGGCTCAACTCTGGTTTGTGTCTTTCAAGTCTTTCAGGACTAGAGAGGTAAATTTCTTCCTTTATTTGGGAGAGAGATTTTTTCAGAGCCTCATATCTACTGCAAATAGTCTGTAAATTAAAGGCTGATTCTGAAACTCTTTCTCTGTCTCCTACAGTATCATCTGGAAAAATGCCACTGGGTATAGGACTATTTGGTTCCAGTTTAAAATTGGCCTCTGTACTAGTAGAGCTATTAAGACTTAAGTGATCAAGTTCTTCTGGGAGAGTTTCATGTAATATGCCAAAATCAATTCCACTTGGTATTTGAAAAGAATTCCATAACATAGTTTTATACATGGAAGTTTCCTGATAAGAAGTTTGCGAGTGATCCAGTATTTTAACATACTCCTCTTCATTGCTACCTATTACATCTATCTCATTTCCTACACCGGGGGAGAAGGTTTGTACGTGGCTAGTTTCTAAAGGCATTTTCTGTGGAGCAGTAGATTCTGAATCTTGCTTACAAATTACTTTCTTATTTAACAAATCTGACTCATTTTGTGTTGTTTCACATATGTGACTGGTTACCATATGCCTCTGAGGCACACTCTTGAGACAATCTGGAACAACTTTCTCTTCAGGCAAATGAGATTGATTAGAATCTGATACAGTGGTTGCTGACAGAAAACTGGCCAAGCTAAATTCTCCTTGATTATGTAATACAGGTAAGGACTCTGGCAATACTTCTCTGTGTTCAGTATCCATCTGAATGGGTTCTGTACTTCTGTTGTCTTCCATTTCAACAGCTTTTCTCCATGAGCTCCGAATTTCACTTACTAATCAAGGGGGGAAAAAAACACAATTATCAATATGCCCAAACAGAAAATAAAATTAAACATTTTATTTCTGTGCTAGAGACAAAGCTACTAACTCAGTATATATGACAGACATATCACTTCGATGACAAAGCTCTACAACATATCAAAACCTAGCAACATGAAAGAACTCTGTCTCCAGCTGATCACACACATGGACACAAGCACAAATTACAAGTATTAAAAAGGTATTTTCAGGCTTCCCTGTGGTGCATGGGGTTAATAAGCATAGCACTGTGAAGCTATCCACAGCCTCTGAAGCACAAGTTCAATTCCTGGCCAGCCAAGGAGCTACCCACATGGCACAGCAGACCTCTCCTGTCTCGCCCACTGCTCCCCTCAGCAGTGTATTTCAGTCAGTCTGCCTGTTCTGTTCCCCATTCTGTCTCTGGTGAATCCTCTTACCACCCCACCCCCCCGCACCTCTGGCCTGTACCTCAGTTCTTGTATGCATAAATAAATAATTTAAAAAAAAAAAAGGAAAACAGAAAAAAAAATAAAAAGAAATTTTCTTGTTTATCTAGTGTTTAGCAAACTTTTTCAATAAAGGGCTGGGTAATAATATTTTATGCTTTGCAGGCCATCCAGTCTACAACAACTACTCAACTCTGATACTGCAGCATGAAAGAAATCATAAACAACATGGTAACAAATGAACAAAGGCTGTGTTCAATGCAACTTTATTTACAAAAACACACGGCATGGGACAGGTTTGTTTGAAGCTGTAGTTTGCTGGCCACTGATCTAGGCCGTGGCTAAGCTCAACCTGAATTGAATCAATTTAACTAAACGTCTTTACTAGCAACAAAATGGAAATTATATTTAATTAATCAGGATGATGTGTCCACATAAGGACAACAATTTAGAACTTTACCTACACAAATTATATAAGAAAAAAATATTGGGCAATTTGACTAGCTTGGGAGAAATTTTTGACGGATGCTGTTGATTGTTGACCAGGAGAATAGATAGCCTCTACACTCTAGAAATGTTGATCACAGGTCAGATGTGGAAACAGTAGATATATTTTTTTTTTAAAGTAACTTTTTAAAAAAACTTTTCCGGGAAAAAGATCAACTAAAACAGAGCCTCCCCGGTGGCACAGCAGGTTGAGTGCCATGTTGTGAAGCTATCCACAGCCTCTGCAGCGCATGTTCAATTCCTGGCTGACCAGGGAGATACCCACATGGCACGGCAGACCTCTCCTGCCTCACCCGCTGCTCCCCTCAGCAGTGTTTTCAGGCGTTCTGCCTGTTCTACTCCCTGCTGTCTCTGGTGAATCCTCTTACCCTCCTGTGCCTATGGCCTGTACCCCAGCTCTTGTATAAATAAATAAAATCTTTAAAAAAGAAAAAGATCAACTAAAATAAAAGTGAAATTATAGAGTACCAAAGCAAAATAATACTGCTGAAGGACTATATATAAATGAGAGTGCCCATACTAATACTTCAATAAAAGTCCCTTACAGCAGGATAAATGAAGAGCCACAGCCACTAAACTGAAAGGTACAGAAAAAAGTTTTAAAATGAGTTTCCAGAAGATTTGTTAGATCATGGTTCTAATAATGGCAATGCTGAAGGAAGAAAATACTAATAAAAACCATTATTGACTTACTCAATTTTTCTGGTGTTCGGGGAATTTGTTTCCTTGTTAAGAATGGGTTAGAAACTAGAGAGTCAATTAGGTCCTCTAATTTTACTTCTTTTCCTTCAGAGAGCTGTGGTGAATCAGATAAAACTGCCCTGGCAACCTAAAACAGAAAAGAAAAAGTAAAGCAAAAATTACTAAGTCCACTGGTAGAATACAACAAAAGCCCTGACACAAGCATTTCACAGTCAGCAGGCTTTCCCATTGCAGATATCTATACAAAAATAAGTTCAACAATGCAATTCCTAGATATTATCTGAAGACTATTTAGGCAAAATCCTACAGGGTGAAATCAAACACAAAACTGTTTCCTCCTTTCTTATTATCTTAAATGAACACTTTTTTATAAAAAAGAAAAAAGGTAAGAATCTTTATTTGGGAAAATTTACAAGTAGTTCTGACTGCACAGTGACTTAAATGGCTACATACCACAACATTGAGCTTCAGAACTTTATAGTCAAGGAAAACATGCAATTAAAATTATTAGAGAATTGAGTATTTAATTTATGTAAACTGAATTCCATAATATGAAGCAGTCAGTTCATAATATGCAGTCACTTGCCAGTGAAAAAAAAGAATAGCATTAAGAAACAGGTAGCTGGGGCCTCCCTGGTGGAGCAGGGGTTAAGCACCACACTATGAAGCAATCCGCAGCCTCTGGAGCACAAGTTCGATCCCCAGCCAGTCAGGGAGCTACCCATATGGTGAGGCAGACCTCTCCTGTCTCGCCCGTTGCTCCCCTCAGCAGTGTATTTCAGTCAGTCTGCCTATTCTGTTCCCCACTCTGTCTCTGGTGGATCCTCTCATCCCCAGCATCTCTGGCCTGTACCCCAGCTCTTGCACACATAAATAAATAAATCTTAAAAAAAAAAAAAAAAGAAGAAACAAAGGTGGTGAGAAAACCCAAGATGATGAATAATAATGCATTTAATCACTTTTGAAAGCAAAAGAACAAAAGCTTCATTCTGGTATCTTATCTTACATAACCTTTGTTCTAACATTTTAAAAAAAGAGAAGCTCAGCTAAGCAACAGACAAGAGTATTTTAATAGTCTTTAAGTCTAATCATTGGGTATGTTTTATCCAACAATTTACATATTGGTTAATTCCAAAAATCTATGTACTGTTTTCATACTTCAAGATGACATTTATAGAATGGGACATGGGTTCTAATCATACATGTGTAATCGTAACTAAAAAATTTCATATTAATTGCTACATTTTGGGAAGACCACGATTTTTTTTATTTATTTATGCATACAAGAACTGGGGTACAGACCAGAAGTGTGGGGAGGAGAGAGGATTCACCAGAGACAAAGTGGGGAGCAGAATAGGCAGATCGACTGAAATACACTGCTGAGAGGAGCAGCGGGTGAATCAGGAGAGGTCTGCTGCACCATGTGGCTAGCTCCCTGGCCGGGGATTGAACTCATACTTCAGCTAGCTTCATAGGTTGCAATATTAACCCCTTGCACCACCAGGGAGGCCCGGGAAGACCATGATTTTGCATTAGCCATGATTTTTATTATTTTATTATCTTTGACCTCCTTCCCAAATCACTCCCAGTTACTGTACTTCACTGAAATTGCTAACATCATTGAGAAAATAATATATTTTAATATACTCTTTATAATCTTTTCTTACCTCTTCTACCAGATGATCTTGCTCTTTTTCGAAAGGATCACTTTTGTTAGCTGGCAGAGGCTCTACAAATACACTGCTATCCATATTCTGGGTGATATTTGATGAAGCAGAGTCATTAACTTCAAATTTTTGTGTTTTTTTAGAAATTGTTTCCCTTTTCTCTCTAGGAGTTCTCATCTCCATGTCCTGAAGAAGACAGATATATAACGTTTCATGTATGTTAGTAACTGTGGCTGGTTTTCATTAGAGGTTCCTAAGTTATCAAGAACCTATAAAAGTCAATACTATAAAAAAGTGAAAATTAAATAAATCCACTATTCCCATTTAGAAACAATACAAAATATGTAACTAGAAATGGCACAGAATATGCAAATACTGGGAAATATGAAAACAAAAATTCAATATAATTACATTAGGATATCAACAAAAGTAAACAATATTTTATCATAAGTTAGTATGGTCAGAATTAATAAAATATTGTTTTAAAATATACCTTTTCAAGTAGTGTAACACTGTTTCCATCTAATGAAGTCGGCTGCAATAAAAAAGAAGCAGGGCTAAAAGGAAAAAAGATAACAAAGCCAAGTTATAGGCAGGAAATAATTCCCTCACTTGACATATCTGAAAACTCTAAAGAATATGTCTGCCCCGTATCTGTCCGTTACGATTTCTCTCAATTCGTCCCGGTCATCAAAAGGCAGTTTATTCTAGGGAGGTGGAGTGACAATTAGAGCAATACTTCAGCCCAATTTGTGTATCAACCTCCCAAATAAATATTTTCTTTGCCTGTTACATATTTTAAGTCAACAGCACTTTTTACAAGGATGATATGACTTGAGGAATACTCAAACACTTGAGCATGAGGTAAAAATTTCAATTTGCTAGAATTGCATTATTACAATGCCCTCAGTCTCCACAATGCAGAGATTTATTGTAGCACTTAACCTTCTAATATACTTTTGTTATTTTATGGCCAGAATTAATTCCTCTTATGCTGAATTTTGTTCTAACAGCGAACAAGTTACTTAAAGTCGTAAGATTATTCACTTTCAGTTTGCTGCATTCTATGTATAGTATTTCTTAACCTCTAAGATTCTACTGCACCTTAGTAACATAAAAAACTTATGCATCCTTTCATACTAATTACAAAATAAGCTGTTAAATGTTTAAAGCCATCAACAATGATAACTTTAACTGTTTATCTTCACCTTGAAAGTTTTCAAATTCAATAGTTGATTATTCTGCTCAATGGCAAAAGCTTTTCTCCTTTAGGTAACAAGAAAGATAGGATTACTAGAAACCACTTTCAACATCAAGCATTTCAGTGCCTTGATTTCTGTTCATAGCCAGAAATACAAAACCAACTGTCCTAGAAACATTTTATATGACAGCAAATATGCTTTTTAAAACTGTCTCAGATATATCCTTCTTGGAATTGTCATCTACCTTGCAAACATAATTCAAAAATCATTGAAATTGTTCAAACTTTACATCAATAGAACATAATCTAGATAACAAAAGGAAAAGATAAGTCATCTACTGTGATTTTTAACTTAATTTTACAAAATATTTAAAATGATCAATGAGCCCTCTAAAGTAGGGTGAGCAATCAATCAATGGCCCAATGTCACTAAGATGCTACCACTAAATAGTGAGTCCCTTAAAGACAATGTCAATGTCTTTTTTTTTTTAATAGAGGCATGTTTTATTTATTTATTTGTTTGTTTGTTTGTTTTGTTTATACATGCACTGGGTACAGTCAGAGGCGAGGGAGGGTGAGAGAATTCACCAGAGCCAGAGTGGGGAGCAGAGCAGGCAGAAGGGCCGAAGTACACTGCTGAGGGGAGCAGCGGGCGGCAGGAGAGGTCTGTGCACCATGTGGGACCCTCCTCTGGTGGCCGGGGAGCAGCCGGGGATCGAACCGGCGCCATAGAGGCCGCGGGCAGCTTCGCAACCCAGCGCTCAACCGCTGCGCCACCGGGGAGGCCCCAATGTCAATGTCTTTTCAAAGACTATTCCTAGAGGTTAATAGGGTGACTGGTACTTGGTAGTGCAATACATATTTGTAACTGACAGACCAACTAAATTAACAATTAAATGTCACTTGAGGAAGAGGTTACAAACATCGCCAAATTTTTGTATTTGAATCAATTTTGTAGAGCTTTATAACAGAAAAAAGAAAAGGAAAAATATTCAAAACTTCCTCTCTCTCATTTGTGAATTGGCTACATGCTGTTATCCTGTTAATATTTTTTTAAAGATTCATTTTTATTTATGTGTGCATACAAGAACTGGCATGCAGGCCAGAGGTGTGGGGGGTGAGAGGATTCAACAGAGACAGAGTGGGGAACAGAACAGGCAGACTGACCGAAATACACCGCTGAGGGGAGCAGCGGGTGAGTCAGGAGAGGTCTGCTGCACCATGTGGGTTGCTCCCGGGAATTAAACTCGTGCTGCAGTAGCTGCGGGCCACTTATAGATTACAACTTAACCCTTGCACCACCAGGGAGGGCCCCTCTCCATGTTTTTAATGGAATAGTTGCATTGATCATAACCATATTAAGAATTCCCAATTAACCACATTGACTCCGGCATATAAGATGGTGCCACTACAAATCAAAAATTTAGTTTAATAACTGAACGACATCCCAAAAAAAGGTATTTAAGTAGTCCATATGTATTACACACTAATAGTGAAACATTTTATTACAAAATACTCTTTACAATAGAGAATTCTGAGTTACAAGTTTATATCCACATCCCAGTAACTAAACTCTTTACCTGTATTTTGTTTTATCAAATTGTTCATTGTGTCTATGGTTGACTACTACTTAATAGTACTTAATTTCAATAAAGAACAAATAAACTCCCTAGGTGGACTGCATATATTAAAGGTTTTTGCTTACATAATCTGTCATCAGTTTTCAAAAGCCAAAATAGGATAATAGAGAAAACACTCAATACAGAAAATAAATGAAGTCCCAATATTCTAAGTAGGTTCTTTTCTTCACATGTGAAATTTCAGAGTTAGACTGAATAGATCTTCCAAATTTTTTTATAGCATGGATGGAACTCTTTTTATCAAACAAAATATAAGAATATACAAGAGGGATAGCTCAAGATAAGAGGAAGCTACACAGGATGAAGTGGGGAGTTGGACAAGTCACAAACTAAATTAAGTTCATTCATGGTACTAGAATATAGCCAAACATTATCAGACTAAATGATCTCAAAAACCCCTGAACTCTTAAGGACTGAGTCAGTCGCCACAAAAGGTTTCAAGTTCACAGACACAAAAAAGCAAAAATTCTCACATTCACATTAGATAATTTCCATACATGTTTTTTACTTCAAAAAATTAGATAATCCCCATGAATCCCAACACTTAAAGAAAGAATAGAAATGAAAATAAAATGCTCATGCATCAAAAATGCGGACTCATTTCTGGAAATGCGGATGCACAGTAAAAAAAAAAAAATCAAAAAAAGAAAATCATGAACTGTTGCATAGTAGAGAAACTTAGAAATAGTAGAGAAGCTTAGAAGGTGACTGAAGACAGGCCTAAAATTAATGAGAGGAAAGAAATCAATATGAAAATCAAATCTGTTTTACCTGTTGACTAGATCATGTACAGTTTCCACTGTATCACTGACTCTTCTGCAATCGTTTTCTTGGTTATGTTGCTTAGGTGTATCTAAAATAATGGAAAATTACTCTTTAATTGTGACTGTATATTCTAATATGCAGGGGTCCCTTGAAATTCTAAAAAGAAATTTCAACAGAAGAAAGAGACTGAATACTAATAGGAAAAGACAATAATATACAATGCTAAGTGTAAAGTAATAGACAGGAAAGTAATAGGAGAATATCCAGTACAATAATCCTCCCCCTTCCCTAGTCCCATCAGTAGTTTTGTTTCCAGGTTTCAGTTAGCCATAGTCAACTGCAGTGAGAAAATAGTATGTGCAGTAAGGTATTTTAAGAGAGAACACATTCATATAACTTATATTACAGCACAGTTATAATGTTCTATTTCATAACTAGTTATTGTTAATCTCTTATTGTGCCTAATTTAAACTTTATCACATGTATGTATGTACGAATGTATAGGAAAAAGCATAGGATAGGGTTGGGTATTCTCTGTGGTTTCAAGTATCCACTAGGATCTTAGACCACATCCTCCCATAGATAAAAGAGGACTACTGTATAATAGGCTTTTATAAAGAATGATAACTCATACTAAACCAAGTTTCAAAAAAAATGAGTTAAAATTCTCCAGAATTATATAACCATTCTCCATGTTTAAATACACATATAATTACCACACAAACCGCAAGGTCAAAAAGTTACATCACTTAGCAATTTCAGGCCAATATCCATGACATCAGTCAACCTAAGTATTTATTAATCCACATATCATTGAAAAACTATGTGGCACTACTATACTAGCAAAGGAAGAAAGGTAAAAGATGAAGATTGCCTTCAGTAAGTCAGTTGAAGAAAGATTACTGATGAGTACAGAATTACTACTAATACTAGAGTACTATAGTATTTGACAGAAGTATGCACAGAATGCAAGATTGCAGAAAGGCACCTGGCCCATAGTGCAGAAGGTGAAGAAGCATGAAGGTATTGAAAGAATAAGGTACAGGTTTGGCATGCTAAAGAATACTGTATATCTACTGGAAGCATGTTAAGAAATAAGGTTGATGAAGTTATGACCAGATTATAGAGAGTTTGATATTCCAAAGGCTTCTCTTTTTTCAATATGTTAGCTTTGAATGACCTCCCCTAATTATGCATGTGTTCAAAGTGTTACTGTGTAAGAAACCAATGTGTACACTATATAAAGTCTCCCTTTAAATCATAATAGTTTGCCAACTTAAAGCATACCCTATGCTTTTTCACATCTACTAATATGATGGAAGTAATGGCATGTATAAAATATTTCAAAAATGAACACAAATACAACTTATTTCATCACAAAACAGCAGACAATCGCAAACTAAAATGACTGCACAATTAAAAGCACCATCTATTGGTGGGAGGCATGATACATGTTTGTTCTGGCATATAAGAAAGTTGTTCTGGCATATAAGGTAAAAGTTGCTAACTAAAAAAGTCTACAGAGCTTTCTTTTTTCTTCATAAAGGTGACAGGAACCTAATGATGTGTACTGTAACAGATGAAAAGAATCATAATTACATTCCAGAAAGAATGTAATATGGAATAAATAAAATATCAGAGACAAATAGCACACAATTACATGCAAGAAATGATGAAAACTAAACTACAGTACTGAAAATATAAGACAAGCAAGGGGAGACAGACAGAATAGGATATTTAGGAGGTAAACACAAAACTAAACCTACCACAACAAATCAAACCCAGCTGAGACAGACACTCCTATCACAAACACTAGAGGTGCTAAGTTAAGAAAAGAATGTCCAAAAGAACAAATAAAAATCATCATGTGTCAGAACCAAAGTTGAAAAGCATGATCACAAAGACAAGCTCAAACTGAGAAATGAACACTCAGTAAGGCAGGTCCCAGAGACCGGAGATTTAATCCCTACATTGTAATAATGTCACTCGGGCCTGGATATGAGAGACTGACATAAGATCAGAACACATACTGCAAAGGCTGCTCAGCCCTGAAAGATTATAAAAATCTTGCCAAATATACCATGAGGCTTACTATCTACCTTGAGTCCTGGGTGGAAAAAAGGAAAGGATTTAAAACCTAGCCAACTTAAATAGAGTTGTGCAATCCAAAATCACACTGGATATTTGTTGTAGGAGTCCCAAACCAAAAGACATTAACTGGTCTACTCTAAGAAAAAAACCTAGGAACTTAGGTCACTCTTTAGAGAACAAAACTACATGACTTTTTCAGGGTAAGGAGACCTACTGAAGTTAAAAAAAATCACAGTCAAAAATTTTAGTAAGAAGCATGAAAATCAGCAGAGCAAGCAAAGTTCGAAGACAGCAAAATCAGCACTGTACCAGCATAAAATCAGCAGAGCATACAGAAGCAAAAGTATCTGGAAAACCAATATTAGAAAAACAAAAAATTAAAATGATTAACAAAAAAGAAACAAGAGGAACTACTGAGATGTCAGAAAAGTCATCACATATTTTTTTCTATGTTTTCTACGCAAAAATGCGTCATGACTTTTCCAACAACCCAATACAATGAAAGAAGATACTGGGGAAAAAACAGGCAGTTTTAAAAATGAAATGAAAGAAAAGTATATTCGTGAAAAATACTAAATGAACAAATCAGAAAGGAGATTAAACATAACTAAAAATATAGTGACCCATAGGGAGATTCAAGGAAAATACCCAGAATGCAGGCCAGAGGTATAAAAGTGTCACAAATATGAATGTAAAAATTAAGATGAAAGACAGAATTAGAAGACTTCACAATAGGAGATGAAGAACAAAGAATCAAAAGAATAACACAGGGTTAATATTACAAGAAGTATTAGTGAATAGTTTCCAGAACTGATAACAGGAGTCTTCACATTATGTAAGCACACTCAACTCTTAAGCAGGCTAAATAAAAACAAGTCTAAATTTAGACATATCTAAATTAACCTGCATAATATAAAAATAAGATCCTAAAAGCAAAGAGAGATCAAAAATTACCTACAAACGAATGACAATCAGCCAACAGCAAATGCCTTAGAAACAATAGAAGGCAATAAACAAAGATCAAATTGACCCCCAAGAAAGAAAAATGTCAATCTAGAATCCTACATCCAGCCAAGCTTTCATCAGGAATTAAGTGAAAATAAAGACATTTTCACAAAAAGACTAAGAGATTTTAGAATTCAGGGTCCAGCATTAGAGAAATAAAGAATATTCATTAAGATACATTGGGTAGTCAGAAAAGTCATGACATATTTTTTGTTTTTTGAAAAAAAAATACATGTTCTGACAACCCAATATTTCTCAAAAGAAAGGAGAAATATTGAAAATAATACTGACAAAAGCTGACAAAATACTGACATAATGCTGACAAGAAGTCAGCAAATGTGTTGGTAAATCTAAATACATAACATAGCTAAATACAGAATAAAAACAACTTCTACCAAGACATTAAAAAAAAAAAAAGGAACAGAAATCAGTAAGAGGACAAAGGGGTTAAGAGCAAGGGGTTAAGACACAACCTATGAAGCTATCAGCAGCCACTGCAGCACAAGTTTGATCCCCAGCCAGTGAGATACCCACATGGCGCAGCAGACCTCTCCTGTCTTGCCCGCTGCTCCTCTCAGCAGTGTATTTCAGCTAATCTATCTGTTCTCTTTCCCACTCTGTCTCTGGTGAATCCTCTCACCGCCCCCCTCAACACCTCTGGCCTGTACCCCCGTTCTTGTATGCATTAATCAATCTTTAAAAAAAAAGGAGGGGGGGACAAAACAACCAAATGCAACAAGTGAACTCTCCTTGGATCTCAGTTAAAAAAATATGCATTTGAAAGACACCGTTGGGTATAGAGTAACTATATTCATAAACTTTAAAAAGACAGAACAGTATTACGTACAGACACATACATACACAGTATGAACATATATCAGTATAAACATAAGATTCAGGATAATGGTTAAATATAAGAAGAATGGGATTAAGGAAAGGGGAATATCCAAGAACTAATTGCACATGTAATTTAAAAGAAATATTGGGTTGTCGGAAAAGTCATGGCATATTTTTTCCTGTTTTTCAAGCAAAAATGTGTCATGACTTTAACAACAACCTACTATATACATAAATATATCAAATATTGGAAAGTTTTGACAAAAGTTTAATAAAGAAGATTTTAATATTTCATATAGATTATGTATAATTCCATGTAACATGGTAAAATGTAATCTTAAAAAACAATTTAAAAGAAAATTACTTCAAGTCAGATGTAATATGGAGGTGTAGAAGAGAAAAAAAAATGTTATTTTACCACAAAAAGTATAATGTTGAGGGTCCCTGATCAGACCAAGGCTCTACTGGGTGGGGGAACCCAAGAATACATATGGTAGTGTCTGGAGAATACGCTAACTGCTGCCAAGACTGTTACCCCGTCTAAACTCAACTATGGTCTACACCTACTACCTGTTCCAGCTTGGCCATAAAATTCACACATTTCTTATTCCACCTATCTACCTAACATTTACTAATTTCAGCAACAATTTCTTGTCTATAAGCACTGGGCAACTTGGGAAACTGAATAGAAAATGGAAATTAGACATTAAAGAGAAATGAATTTCTTAGGTATGATAATGGCATGATAGTTGAGAAAACTAATGAGACATTACACAATTATTACTTTTAAAATGTAATATTAGTATTGCAATTATATAGTAATTACTTGTACTATTCTTTTATGGTATAAAATTGTAGGTTTCTAAACAAAATTGTACAAGCAAGTATTTATAGTAGCACTACTCATAATCAAATGGTGTAAACAACCCAAGGTCTATCTATGGACAAATGGATAAATAGAACATAGTTTAGTCACACAATACAATGTATTCATAAAAAGTAATGATGACTGATAGATACATGCGCAACTTGGATGACTCTTGAAAACATTGTGCAAAGTGAAAACCTGTACAAGTGAAAGAAGCCGGACACACACACCCAGTCTCCTAAGATTTCATCATGTAAGAAGTCCAATACATGCAAATCCACAGAGAGTGGAACTAGCTATAGATGAGTGATTCTCAGAGTCTGAGGAGGGCAAAAAGGGAGTGGCTGCTCTGTGGCTACAGGGTTTCCTTTTGAGGTAAAGAAAATATTCTGGAACCAGATAATGGTGATGGTTGTACAACAGTGTGAATTCATTAAATGTCTGTTAGTTTGTATATTTTGCAATGAGTAAAGTGATGAATCTTGTGCCATTCACCACAATAAAAAATAACTGAGGAAAAGAAACAAGATACGAAAGAATTATTATCATAGTGAAAACACTGACCAGAGGGATGTTCTTGAAAAAGTAAAAAAATAACCAACCTGGAAGTGAAGCAGGATACTGAAGAAGAATACTCCTCGCATATGCTTCTTCCGAAGCAGGATCAAATGAAAGGGGAGACATAGGTGGTAAAAGATCCACAGCCTTAAAACAGAGAATTCATAATTTTCAAATGTACACATTTTACTCACTACCACAATGGTACTACTTACTAAGTTAGTTTATGAACAGATGATTTTTAATTTTTCCCTTGACACAGAATTATCAGCATAAAAATTACTGTGCTATCCAATTATGCCTCAAATTTCATAGTACCTCACATCAAGAAAACATCTTATTTATTAATATAATTCTCTGAACCATAACAAAATATTAAAAATAATAGCTTGATGAATATTCTAAAATGTATTTAGAAAAATTACAGAAATTAAAACATGAACTTTAGGCTCAGATGCAAAGATGGAGCAAAAAAAAAAAAATATATATACACACACACACACACACACACACACACACACGTATGTATAACATTTCCAGGTCATCTGTAACATGATAACAAGATTTCCCTTTATTTAATTTCTCTCCAAAAGGCAAGTCAACGTTACTTACTGGAGTTTCTTTAATTAGACTGAAAGGAGACAGACCAAGAAAGTCTTCCCACTTTTTATACCATTCTCCTTGTTTGTCAACAATAGAATGTCTTATAGTTCTAATATCTTCCTTTATTTTATACCTATAATAGCATAAAAATAGTTTCATTCAATATATGAACATACAAAAAAGTACTGAGTAAAATTTTAAAATGACAGAATGTAGGAAAGGCAAAGAAAATATAACTGAAAGCTCAACCAATACAGCACACATAAATAAAATGCATATTCAGAATCTAGTAATTTTTCCTTTCAAAACAAAAAGCTATCACACATCTATTACTCCATTACTTTTAAAATATAATTTTTTGCAGGTTCTAAACCTGAGTCAGAATTCTACTCCTACACACTATTCATTCCTAAAGGCAGTCCACACCTCCCAGTCACTCGGCTGAAATAAGAACTTTTCTGAGACCCAGTTTTAAAAGATCACTCTATGAAATAAGCCAGAAGGAAAAAGAAAAATATCAGATGGTTTCACTTACAGGAGGAATACAGGGGAACCAAATAAGGGATCAGGAAAAAAATATATTAATAAAAAATAAATAAAAAAACTAACAGGCAACTATAAATCAGAGACACTGTGCAGGGGAGGGGAAGGGAGAGAAATCAAAACAAGAGGGAAGAGCACAAGGGACAATGGTGATGGTGCACGGGTGACTTGGTGGTGGGAATTCTATGGAGACTACACCTGAGAGGAGAAAGTAAACACTGTACAAAAATGAACGATGTAAAATATATAAAAATAAATTTTAAAAATATATAAACAAAAGATCACACTGAAGAAAAGCTAGAGAAAATTAAAAATCATTTTATAAAGAATTATGACTCAGGGCAAATAATTTATTCCAGACAAAGAAAACCATTATTAATTTTCCTTTCCACTTTGTGTCGCTCTCTAGGACTTGATGACATATTTTTGAACTATAAAATTTTCACATTTGTTTGCCAAAACTGAAGAGTTAACTACACAAAAGTTGTGCTGAGAAATTATCAAAACTGTCATACAACTTCCCCAATAAAATAACATCTTTTTATATTACCTCATTTGCTTCAGATCAGATAATCTTTCTCTTTGAAATTTGGTCTCTTTTTCAAGGAAGTGAAGATCTAGTGTCAGTCTTCCTTGGTCAGCCTGACAATGTTCATAGTTCATTATTTTCAAGACTTCATTTAATAACTGAATAACTGTTAGGAGGTTCAATTTTCCAGCCTCATAAACATTTCCTATGTGCAACTAAAAATTCAGAGGGAAAAAAAGCAGTGAACATAGGTTCATAGGGCAATAAATGAATACATAAATATATGTGATTTCTATTATTAATATATAAAAAGTTTACCTTAAATAAGAGTTAAAAAGAAATCAAATGTCAACCCCAAAATAAAACTGTGTAACAGTTTTGATCCAAAGAAAATTACTGCGGAAGAATTAACATACCAAGATACATTTTTTTTTATTGTATAGAAGTTGAAAACTAGAATAAAAGAAAGCCAATAAAAAAAAACTAGAATAAAAGAAATGCAAATAAAGGAAAAGAAGGTTTTGAGACCTATCATAAGAACTCATGTTTTAACAGAAGTTTCAAGTTAATGGTCTTGAAAACTAAATTTAAACCTGAATGTACCTATTAACCTACCCAGTTCTAGTGTTTTAAAATCATTTGAATATTGCCAATAATTCAAACTTAAATTCAAAAATCTCAGACTTCAGGCAGGCATCTCCTGTCTCGTCCCCTGCTTCCTTGCAGGGTATTTCAATCAATCTGCCTTTTCTGTTTTTCAAAAAAAAAAAAAACCATAGGTATCACATAAAAATTATAATTTCTCCAAAGATCTGGTCACTTCCTACTTTATCCCTATTGCTACACACAATTAGCATATTTCATTTACACATATTACCTGACTAGCCCCTATGGAAACCTGAGTTTGCAGGTCCTGATTTTCATGTACTCTAAATCTGAAATGCCAGTCAGGTGAAAACTTCAGGAACACAATATTTTATCTTTGCATCCCCTATACTACAGTTAACATCCAACAGTGTAAATGCTTAATAAATAAAGTTTACTTTTTAAAAAAATGTAGGTTATCAAGATGGAAATGTCCCATAAGTAAGTGGAAATAATTGTTGGGATTTTGGAGAGAAGTAGAAAGGCTGGAAATACCAATTTGGGAATATATTGAATAAGAAATTGATGAAGCCATAGAACTGAGTAAGAAAATACAGATGAATTTATAATGTAAGAAAGGGAAGCATTAAAGTAACCATGGGGGACACTTCCATCTAAAAGTTAGAGAAAAAAGAACAATTGGAAAAAAGTGAGAACTGCAATCTGAAAAACCACAAGAGAGCAGACACATTAAGGTGACAAAAGCTAAAGGAAGACTTGAAAATAAGAGGTTTTTTTAAAAGGACATTTAGCAAAAAGGCCATTCTCTCTGAGAATGTATAAGAATGTATGAAGAACTAGTCTGGTGCATCTCCCTACTAAGAAACCGCCTACTCTCTACACCACATGATGTAGAACTGTAAAGATATAATAAAAGTTGATGAATATAAACATACACACTCATAATGGTACAATACCCTTCTTTATGAAAGTTTTATTATATATACTCACAAAAACATTCTGAAAATACAAAGAGTAAAAAAAGTAATATGTGATGCCTAAAACAATTTCATAAAAGGAGTTTCTCAAGGTTCCTTAATATTAAATGCTTACCTGAGACATCTGTTTTTCAACTTGATCAAGTAAGAGCCTTGGAATATTAACAGCAACATTAGTTCCATCTAACACATAATGTTTTGCTAGACTAAGGACTGAATTAACAACTTCTCTCTCTTTTTCCAAAAACACAAGTGTTTCATTCACTGACGCCCACAAAGATCGAACCTTTAAAAGACAAATTATTAAAATCCATATATATAATCTGTATATAAACTAAAGAAATGTAAAACACAAATATACGCATACTCCCAGAAACAAATGAAATATTACTGAAATGACTTTTAGAGAAAAAGTAAATATTTAATAGTTTAAAAGCACTGATATTACTTTCAAAGAAGCTGTAAAACTAAATAATTTCTCAGGAGAGTCTAGCCCACTATTTTTATAACAAATCTAAAAACTTTACACTAACAGAATTCAATTAGCATTTTATGTATTGCAACATGCTGTCAATCTAATAAAGATTATTCAGGGTAAAATAACAAAAGACTTTCAGGGAAGGCAAATAAAACCACTAAACAGCAATTCTGAGAGTCATTCAAGTTTCAGAAAATTAAAAAGGGAAAAAAATCTTTAAAAGCAAAGATTCTTAGGCATATGTTAACCTATGTTCATTGAAATTCATGTACAAGAATGTTCAAAGTACTTCTATTTGTTAATAGTCAAAATGTGGAATCAACCCAAAGATCTACCTAGAGTAAAAAAGGTGCACTGTGGGCCTCCCCAGTGGCGCAGCGGTTGAGCGCTGGGTTGCGAAGCTGCCCGCGGCCTCTGCGGCGCCGGTTCGATCCCCGGCTGCTCCCCGGCCACTGGAGGAGGGTCCCCCATGGCGCGCAGACCTCTCCTGCCACCCGCTGCTCCCCTCAGCAGTGTGCTTCAGTCCTTCTGCCTGCTCTGCTCCCCGCTCTGGCTCTGGTGAATTCTCTCACCCTCCCATGCTTCTGACTATACCCAGTGATTGTGTAAATAAATAAAAATAAAAATCTTTTAAAAAAACAAAAAGGTGCACTGTGCTATATTCACATAAAAGAACATAATAGTGGTAAGAATGAATACACCACAACTACACAACAGCAAGGAGAAAGCTGAGTAAGTAAAGGAAGTCAGACATACAAAAATTTATTCTGTATACTCTGACTGATATAAAGATCAAGAATACTAATCTTAAGGGCCTCCCCGGTGGCGCAGTGGTTGAGCGCTGGGTTGCAAAGCTGCCTACAGCCTCTGCAGCACTGGTTCGATCCCCGGCCACCGGGCGAGGGTCCCACATGGCACGCAGACCTCTCCTGCCGCCTACTGCTTCCCTCAGCAGTGTATTTCATCACTCTGCCTGCTCTGCTCTCCCCTCTGGCTCTGGTGAACTCTCTCATCCTCCCGCGCTTCTGACTGTGCCCAGTGCTTGTATAAATAAATAAATCTTAAATAAATAAATAAGAATACTCATCTTAAGTGTAAAAATTGAGAATGTTTACTCTTGGAAGAAAATGGTTGTGAACCAAAGGGGGCTTGAGGCTCCTGGGACATTGGTAACATTCCATTCCTTAGACTGAATGCTGGTTATATGGATATGTTCACTTCATTAAAAATTTTGCCAACTTATCCACTTATGATCTTTAAACTTTTCTGTATGCATGTCATACCTCAACAGAATTTATAAAAGTGTAAGGGAGGTGGAGAAATACAATATTTATGCCCACACTGGTGCCTAGTTCTACCTGTGGTACAAGGTAAAGGAAGGCTCATCGGCTGGCAGTCTAGTGGTCTCCTAAGGTAACATTTCCTTGGTGAATTTAACAAAGACCCAGGATGTGGTTCTCAGATTTTTCAAGTCCAGAGATTTTTATCTTGTCAATGGCTCAAAGCTGACTGGACGTGGGGAAACTTAACATTAACCAACTCAGGCGACACTGAGTTGAAAATTACTAAATTTATAACAAAAATAGTTTCCACTAAAAGGAACATTTTTATTCAGTAAATTGGAAGTTTCATGAAGTTGCCTGTTTGCTTCACTGCTGTAGCTCTACTCTAGTATCTAGAATGGCCAGTATACTATAGATGATCAACAAGCATTCACTAAATGAATAGTTATTTCCTGAGGAGGCCACTCACCTTTTCCACTGACAAGGTACTTAGTAAGCCAAATAAATACCCAAAAAGCTTGGTGATCATAGAATTCAAGAGATTTCATGCAAACACAAAGAAGGCCTAAGAAAATATTGCTATCACACGTAAGAGGCAACCTTGAAAGCCTCGGATCATTTGTCTGCCAAACTGCTCCCTACTGTCATGTCAGCTTCAAAGTGACTTCTCATTTTTCTTCCATACTTACCATCTTCCTTCAATTAATGTATTTTATTTACTGATGAAATTACATTCAAGTTATATACTTCTTGCTGGCTTGAAAGATTTTGAATTAATCATATTAAAAATTGCTTTTGAATATATTTTTTTTCCATTATATTCAAGCACTTTAGAGGCATCCTGTTACCATCTTTGTATGTATCATTTAGACGTTAAAAAAAAAAGTAACAATGCTACAAAAAGAAATGACAAAAAGAAACTAGAAGTCCAACTGAGAAAGCAAACATTGCACTTTACAAAAGATTAAATTTCTCCCTTCCAAAAGTTGTCTCATAGGGCCTCCCTGGTGGCCTTGGGGTTAAGTCTCATTGCTATTACCTTTAAGGCCTGAGTTCCCTATCCTTCAAGCTGACTCACATGGCACAACAGACCTCTCCCGTTTCACCCACTGCTCCGCTCAGTAGATCCGCCACTTCTGCTCCCCACTCTGTCTCTGGTTGAATCCTCTCACTCCCCACACCTCTAGCCTACACCCCAGTTCTTCGACATAAAAATTTTTTCTTAAAAAGTTGTCTCACCTTTTGAATTTTCTCTTGTATATTACTTTGGTCATCACAAGGTTCAATTCTAGTTAAAAATTAAATAATCTCATTAGTCATTTTTTTTTAAATCACATAGTAATTTACCATTCTTGATCTGCAAGCCCACCCGCTAACAACCACACTAATTAAAAACACAAATAAAGTTCTAATTCAAAGCACCCATTCTTTAGAAAACTAGACAAGGAATCAGAATTATGTACAATTCCTATCATCATCTAGCTATTGATATGGTATTTTAATTAATGTTTCTAAGACTCTCCATTTCCTTACCTGTAAAACGCAAGAGGTATAAACTAGTATCTAAGGCAATTTTCAGCTCTGAAAGTCACTTACTTTTTCATTTGGTTTTGTTGTCCTATACATTCTGATCTCAAATTCCTTACTTGCTTAACTGACAATCTGCAAGAAAATATACAAAATGACGACTATAATTCCACTTAAAAATAACTGGGTTGACCCACTTTGGTATTTTCCCACTTTTCGTATCTTTGCTCATAACCTCTGAGGACCACCCTTCCAAATAAACCAAGCAGCCAGCCAAAGGATTCTAGATTTTCTTTAGGAGTTACAGGAGTGATCTAACATACAGGCTGCTAGTGAGATGGAACAAGACTTCTAGGATCACATACTCCTGACTTTAAATAAAAAACTGACTATCATAACACTATACTGCACTTATCCTTGTCTCACAAACCTAATGGATAAATTTAAATGTTCTCTTAAGACAGGCAACATTTCAGTTTTAAAGTAATTTCAAATGATTTTTTAGCTGTAGTTACAGATAAAACAGAATTCTAAAGGTTATCTTACTGTAATTGCTTATGAACCTTGCCTTGTTTAATACTGTAAGGTCAGGTCCTCCTTGGTGGCACAAGGGGTTAAGTCTCAGCACTATGAAGCTATTTGCAGCCACTGCAGTCCCAGCCAGGGAGCTAACCCACAAGATACAGCAGATTCTCCTATCTCACCCACTGCTGCCCTCAATAGTGTATTTCAGTCAATCCACCTATTCTACTACCCACTCTCTGTGGTGAATCCTCTCACCCCCTACACCTCTGGCCTATACCCCAGTTCTTGTATGCATAAATAAATGAAAATAAATCTTTAAAAAATCACATAAAATAAAAAAATGAAACATATGCTCAAAAGATTATTAAGTAGACATTAAGAGTAATACAAGGAATGGCAATATGGAAAAATTTATAGCATGAAATATCAAGAGATACTATGCTTTTGGGCCTCCCTGGTGGCACAGCGGTTGAACTATTATCCACAGACTCTGCAGCCTCTGCAGCGCCGGTTCTATCCCGCCGGCAAGTGTCCCACATGGCGCGCAGACCTCTCTTGCCGCGCCTGCTGCTCCCCTCAGCAATGTACTTAGTCAGTCTGCCTGTTCTGCTCCCCGCTCTGCCTCTGGTGAATTCTCTCACCCTCCCGGGCTTCTGACTGTACCCAGTGCTTGTATAAATAAATAAATAAATAAATAAATCCTGGGCCTCCCCGGTGGCACAGCGGTTGAGCCCTGGGTTGAGAAGCTGCCCGCAGCCTCTGCAGCACCGGTTCATTCCCCGGCTGCTCCCCGGCCACTGGAGGAGGGTCCCACATGGCACGCAGACCTCTCCTGCCACCCGCTGCTCCCCTCAGCAGTGTACTTCGGTCCTTCTGCCTGCTCTGCTCCCCGCTCTGGATCTGGTGAATTCTCTCACCCTCCCGCGCTTCTGACTGTACCCAGTGCTTGTATAAATAACTAACTAAATAAATAAATAAATCTTTTAAAATAAATAAATAAGCAAATCTTTAAAAAAAAGAGATTGTGCTTTTAAGCACAATAATTACAGCTTAAAAATATATTTCCATGTCAAAAAAGAAAAGAACAGTGAATAAATTAAATTTTTGAACTAAGGTATCTTTTTCTTTTCTCTAAATTCTGATTTACAGAATGCCGAAAGTTTTAAAATAATGTGTCCAAAAATTATCTGGCTTAAAATGGAAACTAGGGGGTTTGGAAATAGGCATGGATTATTAAAGATATATTGGTATTTATTTCAAAAAGATTTAAAAAGATTTATTTTTTAAATAGACTTTTATTTTTTAAATACTTTTTTAAAAAGGTTTATTTTTATTTATTTATGCATATAAGAACTGGGGTGTAGGCCGGAGGTGTGGGGGGTGAGAGGATTCACCAGAGACAGAGTGGGGAGCAGAACAGGCAGATCTACTGAAATGCACTGCTGAGGGGAGCAGCGGGCAAGAAAGGAAAGGTCTGCTGCACCATGTGGGTTAGCTCCCTGACCAGGCTACAGTGGTTGGCAATAGCTTGACAGCATTGAGACTTTAACCCCTGCACCAACAGGGAGGCCCTCAAAAATAACTATCATTTTCTAACTTTCAAAGTATTACTTACTGTGCACATTCCTGATATTTTCGGTTAACACAATCTTGTCTCTGCAAAATTTGTAAAAATCTGTTACGTGCTACATGGCATCTGGCAACACACTTGTGCAAATCTTGTGACTTTACATTAAGTGTCTCTGTAAAACGTATAGAAGAATCTATATAGAATACAAATAAAAGCATAGAAAACTTAGATTTACAAGGTTAACATATATCAAAAATGTTTAGTTTTATTAATTTTAAGATTAACAACTTCATATAACTAAGAACTTCTTAAAAGCTGATACACCCTATACACAAGAAGATACAAATAATATCAACAAAAGCAAGAATAATACAGGCAACTATGAAAGCATATCTAAAGTTGTTACTTTATATATAAATGTTTTTAAAGTCCAATTGTCCAAAATATTTATCACACCTTGATATATTGGTATTAACACATTGTTATATATGAGTAACTTCTCTACAGGACCTTTTAACAAAAAAGGAAGAAAATTAATTTAAAGAAATGGTAAGATCACATCACCTCCATTGCTGCCATTAGTTTACTCTTCCTCCTAGTAAGACCAGCAGGATAGGACAACCAAATAAATATAAATCTAATCTCCAATTCTCAAGTAATTCTTGGCACTGTGTGTGTGTGCGTGTGCGTGTGCACGCGTATGTGCATACTCCCGCATATATATGTAACACTAATAATCTGACCCTAAAAACAATACATCCAAACATTTAAAAATTCAAGTTTATATGGGTAAAAAGTTTATATTTAAGTTTATATTTATAAGTTTATATAAAGTTTATATTTATAAATATAATAAAGGGGCCTTCCCAGTGGCGCAGCAGGTTGAGTGCAGCGTTTTGAAGCTGTCTGCAGATTCTGCAGCGCATCAATTCCCTGCCAGCCAGGGAGATACCCACATGGCGCAGCAGACCTCTCCTGTCTTGCCTGCAGCTCCCCCCAGCAGTGTTTTCAGTCATCTGCCTGTTCTGTTCCCCTCTCTTTCTCTGGTGAATTCTTTCTCCCTCCCACGCCTCTGGCCTGTACCCCAGTTCCTGTATAAATAAATAAATCTTTAAACTATATATATATATATATATATATATATATATATATAAAATAAAGCCCACTTTAGTATTGCTCAATACAATAAAGATGAATATTCTGTAAAAAAGGGATCACACACTGTATTTAACATTACCAATACATATCCTATCATTACTCCCAAAGAAAGCATCACTTTCTAAATAATTAACAGCGCATTAAGTTTACTGAATCTAGAAGTCACCTAGAGACTAAACATGTTGACTGGAATGGCATTAAATTAGAAGGACAACCCATACTCAGAAGTCATAAGGCACAATTCAACCACACATATTGCGGCCTTTCTGCGCACCTGTGCATGTAGGGTTTGGAAGAAGCATTGCCTGAAGACAATGGCCCACATCACAAGGCAAGCCTAGGGACACCTAAGTAGCCATTGACTGATTCTGTGACCATGGTCTGAGGTGGTCTGGGAATAGCTCAGAAATTACATCAAGTGCATACCACTACTTACACATGAAGCCCTCCCTGTATAGTTTTATGTATGGTCAACATGTCCCCTCCAGTTCCCCATAATGATTATCCTTTGTTACCCCTGGACCCTATTACTCCTGTTCTTGTCTCATAATCAATCATGCTTGCTTGTTATTACTAATAAATTGCAAGAAGGCTGATCACAGAGCAGCAGTCTTGCCTTGCAAACCTGCTCCACATCTCATCTCTCTCCAGTCGTGTTTCCAATACAACAGATCTCACATAAAATACTCTGGGTTTCATGTAATTAGAGCAGGTCATCCACTAACCAGAAAACTAGTAAAATACTTGTTATTAAATTTAAAATATGCAGATTTTTATAAAGCCAGATCACATGTTTTTAAAAAAGCATCACAGAAGATAAACAGGAAAAAATTTTCTATGTCACAGCACAGAAAAGGGATAACTATTGTTCCTACAAATGAAAAAGATCAATAACTTCAGTGAAAAATAGAGAATATGAACACAGAATACAAAAAGATTAAACTGCCCTTAATCATATGAAACAATTTTCAATCTAATAATAAAAAATACACACTAAAACTACCCTGAGATTCCATTTTAGCCTATCAGACCATTAAGAGAAAAACATCTGTCTACACTCAGTGTTGGAATCACTGGGAAAATAAACACCCTCAAAACTCTGGTGTCAGAAGCATGAACTGTCCAATCGCTACAGAAAATAATTTGGTAATAACTAGCAAATTACAACTGCACAATTGCTTTGACCAAACAAATCATCTTTAAGGAATTAAACACACACATATTTAAAATATATAAAGTTTGTTACTGTAGCACTGATTTTATAGCAAAAGATTAAGAAAAAAATTCAAATGTCTTGATTAGAAGACTGATTAAATATATTGTATGTATTATATATAATATATATATAACATGGTATATTCTCCTGCACAGTTCTAAATCTGCAATTTTAAAGAGAAAAAATGAGAATAAAGAAAAATTAAGAAGTTCTATAAAATCATATGTGATGATCTCTAATGATAAACTAAGTGAAAAATGCAAAGATTAAAAAAATTTTAAGATTCAAAACCAGATATATATCACCATTTAGGATTTACAAAAAATTATATACATAATTGCTTGTATTGCTGGTTATACTGGTTGCTTATAGGAAGGGAAATTAGCTAGAGAACAGAGGTGAAAAATGGGCCTTCACCTTTTGAGTTTTGAACCACAAGACTGTATTACTGATTCAAAATAATTAAAGACAGAAGGACATAAAGTGTGTGCATAAAAAAAAGAAAAATCAAAATTTCTGGAAATTGGAAGATGATTGGGGTTTATTGTGTCTTCTCCATATTTTCCTTTCTATATTTTATGAGCAGAAACAAATTAAGCAGAGCAGCATATTGAATGAGCTACAAATAGTATCCTTTTAAAGCTTAGCTCAAAAGCCAATATTTTGTTTCTATGAATTAGCAAATAGATCAAATCCCTTTAAAACAGCAATTTCTAACAAAAAAAAATTCCAACAAACTGCCAGTAGCCAAAATAATTTTCAAGTACGTTCAGCTCATTTAACCCAATTTATTAGTGGTAAACCATAACCTACAGGTCTATTCTAGACTGTTGCTCTTTTGTGAGGCCAGTAAATTAGGAATGCTCTCTACTTTTTTTTTTTTTTGTAAAGATTTGCTTTATTTATTTATTTATACAAGCACTGGGTAGTCAGAGGCGCGGGAGGGTGAGAGAATTCACCAGAGCCAGAGCAGGGAGCAGAGCAGGCAGAAGGACCAAGTACACTGCTGAGGGGAGTAGCGGGCGGCAGGAGAGGTCTGCGTGCCATGTGGGACCCTCCTCCAGTGGCCGGGGAGCAGCCGGGAATCGAACCAGTGCTGAAGAGGCTGCGCTCAACCGCTGCGCCACTGGGGAGGCCCAAGGAATGCTCTCTACTTTTTAAAGGATTACTAACACCACCACAAAAAGATGTATGTGTCAGAGAGATCTCATGTGGTCTTCAAAACCCAAAATATCTGGCCTTACATAAGAAATGGTTTCCAACCTCTGTACTAGTACTTAATGAAATAACCTGAAAAATTACTTATGTTCATTATAAAAGGATTTCAAACTGCAGTTCCAGTACAACATTAGCTACTTGTCTTTCAATGTAAATTAGTATTTTTAACTTATGTTGCTTTACTAAACATGCAAATTATAAAGAACAATAAAGATAAAAGAATCAAAGCAAAAAAAAAAAAAAAACTCCTGCTACAGGTTTAACTTACTTTTAGAATTGGATTTAATGTATTTTATTACAACAAATCTTGCAAAATGATACATCAGATGGATAAATTTAGAACCACCAGGAGAAAGAAATAGTGAACCAACAACTTGAGGAAAGTTACTTCCACATTCAGCCTATGAAAAAAAGAAAGATGATGACTTGAAGACCTTATCAACAATAACCCTTATATTTACTTACATCATATAGTTTTCAAAGCAAAATAGGGTTGATCAGTATTATTTCATTTTAACAAGTTGAATTTCTAAATCATTCTAAAGTCTTGGTGAATTTGGTCACAAAAAAATAATTGCTGGGCAAAGCTATAATAAATGACACTATCTGGAGATACAAGCTAAAATAATCTATGGTCAAAACTTTTTTTAGGGCCTCCCCAGTGGCACAGCAGTTGGGCGCTGGGTTGTGAAGCTGCCCGCAGCCTCTGCAGCGCCAGTTTGATCCCGGCCACGAGGCGAGGGTCCCACATGGCGCGCAGACCTCTCCTGCCACCCGCTGCTCCCCTCAGCTGTGTACTTCATCACTCTGCCTGCTCTGCTCCCTGCTCTGGCTCTGGTGAATTCTCTCACCCTCCCGTGCCTCTGACTGTACCCAGTGCTTGTATAAATAAATAAATAAATCTTTAAAAAGAAAAAAAAACTTTAAACAAAAATTGTGATATGAACTCCTGGGAGCTCTAAAACCTATTTCCATTGCATCTAGCTAGCAAAGCTTTTTCTGAGAAATATGGAACCCCAATCGGGCAATCCTGGTGGTGCAGTTTAGGATTAAAGACACAGCGCTATCAAGCGATCCCCAGCCATTGCACCATGAATTTGATTCCCAACCAGGGAGCTAACCCACATGGCACAGACATCGCCTGTCTTGCCCGCTCCTATCCTCAGCAGTGTATTTCAGTAGATCTGCCTGTTCTGTTCCCCACTCTGTCTCTGGTGAATCCTCTTACCCCCCCGCACCTCAGTGCGGGGAGCCCCAGTAAAAAAGTGTTATTCAAATTAAATATCCTTGGTTGTTCCATTAGCATGAAAGCACTTGAAAAGATTTCCCCTCTAAAAAAAATTAATGTCAGTCTGCCTGTTCTGCTCCCCATTCTGTCTCTGGTGAATCCTCTCACCCTCCCATGCCTCTGGCCTGTACCCCAGCTATTGTATAAATAAAAAAATAAATCTTTAAAAAAAAAAAAAAAAGAAGAAGCAGTGGGCAAGACAAGAGGTCTACTGCGCCTAGTCCTTAACTTCTTAAAATCTACATCTTCCAGAAAGAGAATACTTACAGAAATCTTTTTTAACCATTCACAACAATGTTTCCGAAATTCAGTATCACTTTTTTGGTCAAATGGCGGCCAACAATGTCTTAAAAACAAAAATAAAAGCATTAAAATTATGAGGGGAAAAAAAAACTCAGCAAAATTAAGAAGTTTTAACGTTATCTCCTATACTAGAAACATTAATGCTAAATGAATTAAGATTAACATTCTTAGATTTCAACTGAAGAGAAACAGCAATCCTATGAGAAACTAGGTCTTTCTCTTTTATAAATATGCGTAGGGTTCGGTTCAGTTTAACGCAAATAACAATGAATATGCATGTTAAGTGAAGAAATTAATCACTATTAAATTACTAAAAATAAGCTGAAGCCAATACTGTGTACTCAAAGGACTAATTCGTAAAATAGTATAAATAGGGCCTCCCTGGTGGCGCAGGCAGTTGAGCACTGTGCTATGAGGCTGTTCGCAGCCTCTGCAGTGTGAGTTCAATCCCTGCCGGCCAGTGAGAATCCCACATGGAACAGCAGACCTCTCTTGTCTCATCCGCTTCTCCCCTCAGCAGTGTATTTCGTCAGTCTGCCTGTTCTGTTCCCCACTCTATCTCTGGTGAATCCTCTCACCCTCCCACGCATCTGGCTTGTACCCCAGCTCTAGTATAAATAAATCTTTAAAAATAAAAAACAGCATAAATAAATTAGAATATTAAGCCTAAGAGAGAGAAATATAAATGGTTATATATAAAAAGCACAGGAGAAAGAATGGCATGAGAGTTGATGACTCCTACAGATCACCCATACCTTAGCAAATGCTATTGTTTTATCAATAAACAATTTCAGAAAATTGGTTAAGTAAAATTTTATTTCACCTTTAGTCAAAAGTAACAGACTTCAAAATTTCTGTACTTTCCCTTAGTAATCAATTTTGTCTAAATTCTTTTTTTTTTTTTTTTTTTTGGTGGGACCCTCGCCAGCAGCCAGGGAACTAACTGGTGCTACAGAGGCTGTGGGCAGCCTCGCAGCCCAGCGCTCAACCGCTGTGCCACCAGGGGAGGCCCAATTTTGTCTAAATTTTTATACTAAGTAATGATTTGTTTTGGGGGACCATTTTTTTGTATTTCTAAAATATGACATACATTCTATATTCACAGGAAAAACTAAGGTATGCATAGAAAGAAAGCTGAAATATTAGAATGTCAACAGTGGTGTTCTTATTTCCTTCTCATATTTCTGTATTTTCTGAATTGCTTAAAATAAGCTGTGTTTTGTTTGTAATCAGGGCAAAAAATCTGTTTATTTAGACTGAGGAAGCCATATACATTCATGACAGGAATTTCAAAAAATGTTTCAAATATACCTCTTCTCCTGGTCACTCAACTTTCAGTAAACACAAGCAATTAAGAATAAATTATCGGGCCTCCCCAGTGGCGCTGCGGTTGAGCGCTGGGTTGCGAAGCTGCCCGCAGCCTCTGCAGCACCGGTTCGATCCCTGGCCACTGGGTGAGGGTCCCACATGGCACGCAGACCTCTCCTGCTGCCCGCTGCTCCCTCAGCAGTGTACTTCTTCAGTCTGCCTGTTCTGTTCCCCACTCTGGCTCTGGTGAATTCTCTCACCCTCCCGCGCTTCCGACTGTACCCAGTGCTTGTATAAATAAATTTTTAAAAAAAATAGAATTTAAATAATCAAAAATAATGCCTTAAACAATAAACTAATGTGTACTTTATATATGTGGGTAATGGCACAATATAAAAATTGAAACAAATGTGAACATTTATCAGACATAAGGAACCCAAATCACATGCAAAATAACTTGGAACCAAAGTTAGTGGGTGTTCACATTTTTGTTCCCTTAAAGGCCTCCCTGGTGGCACAAGGGGTAAAGCACCACACTGTGAAGCAATCTGCAGCCTTTGCAGCACAAAGTTCGATACCTGGTCGGCCAGGGAGCAACCCACATGGCGAGGCAGACCTCTCCTGTCTGCCCGACTGCTCCCTCAGCAGTGTATTTCAGTCCGTCTGCCTGTTCTGTTCCCCACTCTGTCTCTGGTGAATCCTCTCACCCCCCTGCATCGCTGGCTTGTACCCCAGCTCTTGCATGCATAAATTAAAAAAAAAAAAAACCACTTAGTACTCGGCAGTATATAATAGGCTGACCTTAACAGAAATGATTTTTGATTATAGCACCTGACAATTTATTTATCACTGACAAAACAAAAAGGATTTACAGAGACCTAGAGAGGAACATTACAAAAAATAAGTAACACTTCCTGCAAGAAAACAAGTAAGGTATGAGGCACTTAGCAAAAATCAAGTAAACAGGGCCTCCCTGGTGGCGCAGGGGTAAGACGCAGCACTATGAAGGTACCCTCAGCCACTGCAGCACAAGTTTGATCCCTGGCCAGGGAGGTGACCCATATGGCACAGCAGGCCTCTCCTGTCTTGCCCGCTGCTCCCCACAGCAGTGTATTTCAGCCAATCCACCTGTTCTGTTTCCCACTCTGTCTCTGGTGAATCCTCTCATCCTCCCATACTTCTGGCCGGTACCCAGTTTTTGTATGCATAAATAAATAAACCTTAAAAAAAACAAAAAAAAAGTAAATATAAAAGGTAAAAATCAAGAATATAAATTGGTACTAGTTGTTCTGCCTAATAATTCAAAGAATGAAGAATGTTAAGAAGTAATTTTATCAATAAAATTTGTTTTATCTAGGGTACACAATGATTATAAGATACATGATTTTAAGATAAGTTTCAAAGGAAATCACTCAGCTTTATAAATGTTAAGCACTAAATTTATAAGACTCAAACTTGATTTCTGTAACATCTATTCAAAATAATAGTCAAAAGCCAAATTTGAAATTCTGGTTTTTTTTTTTTTCAAGATGTATTTTTTATTTATGTAGTGCTGCAGTGGCTGGCGATAGCTTGATAGTGCTGCCCTAACTCCTCGCACCACGAGGGAGGCCCCCGAAATTCTGGTTTATATCAAGTCACAGTTCTTTTTCAAATTTAAGAATGACTACTTACGAAAAGAAAATGAAATAACTTGCTTACCTGAAAACTTCTTTGGTGAGAGACTGGTCTAGCGTTTGAAACAAAAAGTAAGAAACTATCTGAAAGGCATCACGGTTCAGCTTGTCAAACATATTCCTAGTGGTTTAAAAGGAACAGAAACAGGTAAACAGAAAGGAAAATGGTTTTTATACAATTAAACATCAAAAGTTGCGTAAAAATTTGACTTTCTTCAAAAGGTCAAGGCTAACAAATTTTTCTCATTCATGCACAAAAATAGCTAATTTTTACTAACTTTGCTATTTGACAAATATTAAACAATATATAGGCATAACTCACCTAATCTTCACCACAATCATGAGGTTAAGTACTGTGCAAGCTGTTTTAACATGGATAATTTTATTTAACCCCAATGACAATAGAAAGGAATGTGACTATCTTCATTAAACAGAAGTGGAAATGGAAGAGCAGTGATTTGACATATGTCATCTGCCCCCTAATCTAGGGCTTTTACCACTAGATATCATCCCCCAAACCATTCTTATAATTCTAGCAAGTCTCTTAGAATTTTCATTGCCTTGATTTCCCTAACTTATCAAGACAAAGTATAAACAAATACACTATGTTTTTAAAAGAAATAAAATAAAAACTAAACCTTGTAAGAAATGTCACACAGCTATAAGGAATGGAGAGTTAACACAAAGGAGGCCTGGAAGCCACTGGGTCATCCACTGCTCTGTGCTCACTGTGCCATCCTTACACCCTTCTCCTGAGGCCAGAACCATGCTGATATCCAGCAGGACATGCAAAACTCAGGCTTCCAGCACTGTTGGAGCCCAGAAAATGGAGAGTTCCTTGTACTTCACCTAGGACAGCAAACAGCTGATGGAGATTAGAAACCACTTGACCACATTTTGTTGCAAGGATTTTAAGATTAACTTTGATAATTTCCCAGGCAAAATAAGTGGAACTTGGCATGGAGATATGGCCACCATATTTCAAAGTCCTGGCAATGAAGAATAAAACAGCATGGAAAATAAAATGAAGGAATTTCATTTCTAGTTAAGTAAAAATGGGATAAAAATGGACTGTATAACCTAACAGAAATTAATGTTTACACTCAAGAAGGAAAAGAACTTGTCAAAGTTACCAGAAAAAAAAAAAAATTTGAGTGCTCCCTTTACCCCAAGTATAAAAAGGGCCTTTGCATGGTTACAAAAAGAGAACTTATTGGAATTATGAAATATCAAAACAAGTTAAGAGGAAAGGAACCAAATAACTATAAAGCAAAGGTATCAAAAGAAACTGAACACATTATCAAAAAGAGGGCAAAACTTATTCGAACATAATAGAGTAGGACCTCCCTGGTGGCATAAGGGGTTAAGATGCAACCTATGAAGCTCTCCACAGCCACTTCAGCATGAGTTCGATCCCCTGCCAGGGAGCTACCCACGTGGCGCAGCAGATCTCTCCTGACTTGCCCGCTGCTCCCCTCAGCAGTGTACTTCAGTCAATCTGCCCGTTCTGTTTCCCACTCTGTCTCTGGTGAATCCTCTCACAACCCCACACCCCCGCACCTCCGGCCTGTACCCCAGTTCTTGTATGAATAAATGAATCTTAAAAAAAAAATAACATAACAGAGTGTATCTACAGATATTCTATGCACTAATAAAATATTTCTAACATTTAGAACAGGAATCCAGGATATATTTTCAACAAAGATCTGACGGGGTATCTCTGAATGGGCATTTCACTTGGATGATTCCTTGCTTTCAAATTCCAAAAAGTGGGCCTCCCCGGTGGCGCAGCGGTTGAGCGCTGGGTTGTGAAGCTGCCCGTGACCTCTGCGGCGCCGGTTCAATCCCCGGCTGCTCCCCGGCCACCGGAGGAGGGTCCTACATGGCGCGCAGACCTCTCCTGCCGCCCGCTGCTCCCCACAGCAGTGTACTTCGGTCCTTCTGCCTGCTCTGCTCCCGGCTCTGGCTCTGGTGAATTCTCTCACCCTCCCACGCTTCTGACTGTACCCAGTGCATGTATAAACAAACAAACAAGTAAAATAAATAAATAAAGCATGCCTCTATTAAAAAAAAAAAAAAACAAAACAAATTCCAAAAAGTAACTGGTTTAGGAGGTAGGCAGTTAAAAAGAGCACAGGGATGCCTGACCAAATGGATGTTACGTACTCCTTGTAAACACATAAAGCAATTTTCTTGAGTTGAAAAACAAAATTAACATTAACGTTCCCATGCTCATCCAAATGTCAAGCAACTTTTTAAGTCTTTAGAATGTTTTTATTCCTCAGTGACCACAAATGAAATTCCTACCTCTTTTCATCTCTCAAATCTGTTTTCAGTGTCCTGTTCTCCTTGACACCTACTGTAATTTTTAATATTTATTGAAGGGTTAATATTTGTTGAAGGTTCACCCACTAAACAGAAATTCTGTAAGGGAAAAATCTGTGTCTATTCTGTTCACTACTATATTCCCAGATCTAACACTATGCTCAATATGTTTCTATGTGCACTACCAACTTAGTTCAGGCCTATCTGCAAAGCCCCAGATCCCCCTTAATTGCATTCTCTGTAATGCAACCGGAATAATTTTTACAAAATGCAAATCTTTTGAGCAAATAGCTAGGCATGAACTTGCTGAATCATGTTAAGTATGTTTCCAATTTTACAAGGAAAGTAGTTACACAACTCCAGAAACAAGACAAAAACCAGAATTACACACCAACAAGAATTAATTTTACCATATGTAAATACATGAATAAGAAATAAAGGAATGAAGTAAGGGCCTCCCTGGTGGCACAGCGGTTGAGCGCTGGGCAGCCTCTGTAGCACCGGTTTGATCCCCAACTGCTGGCGAGGGTCCCACATCGTGCTGCCCGCTGCTCCCCTCAGCAGTGTACTTCGTCAGTCTGCCTGTTCTGTGCTCCGCTCTGCCTCTGGTGAATTCTCTCACCCTCCCGCGTTTCTGACTGTAACCAGTGCTTGTATGTATAAATAAATAAATAAATAAATAAATAAATAAATAAATAAATAAATAAATCTTTAAAGAAAAAAGAAGTAAATGTGATGTCACATTCATGCTTTTACATGGTGTATCTCTCCCTATGTCTGAAATGACTGTTATTAAACATAAGGGGTAAAACTATCTGTGACAGGAGAAAAAAGAATAAAACCTACCATGACTGGACCAGAATTTGACATATTTTAATTTATTTCCAGTCAGAAAGCAGATTGGAATTTAAAAAAACAAAAATTAAATTAAATTTAAAAAAAAAAGAGAGAGAGAAAACTAGGAATGTGAAAAAAAATTGGAGAGAAGGAAGCAGAAGCAATGGGATCCATTCTCAGTGGAGGCCTGGAAAACCTTTAAGCTGCTGGGCCTCCCTGGTGGCGCAGTGGATTGAGCGCAGCACTGTTAAGCTGTCCACAGCCTCTGCAGCACGGGTTCGATTCCTAGCCGGGCAGGGAGATACCCACATGGTGCGGCAGACCTCTCCTGTCTCATTGACTGCTCCCCTCAGCAGTTTACTTCCATCCTTCTGCCTGTTCTGCTCCCTGCTCTGTCTCTGGTGAATTCTCTTACCCTCCCGTGCCTCTGGCCTGTACCCCAGTGCTAGTATAAATAAACAAATCTTTAAATAAAAAAAAAAAAAAGCTTTAAGCTGCTCCACCAGTACACAGAAATAAGATTGTGCAGACCACATCAACCCTTGTTAGACAAATAGAATACTGTATTTACTAATACATAACCATAAGTTGATGCTATCTAGTGGCTGTCTATTTTTAGAAGACTTTTAGACAAAGTACTTTTATTATAAGCAGTAGTAACTTTTAAAGTTACCAAACAAATTTCAGCACTAAACCCAGACAATAAAATAGTTCTAATAAAGCTGAAAAAAAATCAAGGGGCCAGTGAAGGCTAGAAAGGTAGCAAATTGTAGATGAGCTAATTACTTTTGAAAGTATAGCTACCTTCATTGTGAAATTACATAATGGAAAATCAAGTGGTATTTTAGAGACTGATACATCAAGATAGAGATTTAACTACACTATTAAAATACTGCCAGGCCTCCCTGGTGGCACAAGGGGTTAAGATGCAACCTATGAAGTTGTCTGCAGCCACTGCAGCACGAGTTCAATCCCCTGCCAGGGAGCTACCCACATGGTGCAGCAGACCTCTCCTGACTTGCCTGCTGCTCCCCTCAGCAGTGTACTCCAGTCAATCTGTCTGTTCTGTTCCCCACCCTGTTTCTGGTGAATCTTCTCACCCTCTGCACATCTGGCCTGTACCCCAGCTCTTGTAGGTATAAATAAAAATAAATAAAAATAAGATACTGTCACTGGAATGTGAGAAACAATTACAAAAGTCACTTTAGACTAACAAGAGAATCTATGTATACCACATTTCTCCTGGCCTGCAATGATAAAGAATATGGGTGTTGCCTAAAGTTGACAAAAACAAATATTTCGATTTACGATTATCACACTAATATTATTGGCAAAGTAGGGAAGGAGCTTTTCCTTTTCATCTTTTTTTTTTAATATTTATTTATTTATGCATACAAGAGCTGGGGTACAGGCCAGGGGTGGGGGGGTGTGTGTGAGAGGATTCACCAGAGACAGAGTGGGGAACAGAACAGGCAGACTGACTGAAACACACTGCTGAGGGGAGCAGCAGGCGAGATAGGAGAGGTCTGCCGCACCATGTGGGTTTCTCCCTGGCCGGCCGGGGGATCGAACTCGTGCTGCAGAGGCTGCGGGTTGCTTCATAGTGCGGTGCTTCACCCCTTGCGCCACCAGGGAGGCCCTTCCTTTTCATCTTAATACCCTTCTGGCTTATGCTAACCGTGCTTAGCTTTCTAACTCAACCCACAAAAATTGCAAACTAAACAGCAACCTACTTCAAAGGTTCCTTTGCACCTTAAACGTCCCCGCACATAGTGGTGCCCCGCCCTTCCACTCTCAACTCGCCACCTCTCGACTTCACAGACCACCCCGCCTCGCGGACAAAATTAAGCTGCCCCTCTAGGGCGGCTCCGCCTGCAGTCGCTACTGCCCTCCAAAGAGCTCCTGGCAAGGCTCGGGAACCGATACAGACCAGGCTGGCAGGAAACTGGGGCACGGGCTTTGCACCCAGTGCCCAGCACCCAGGAAACACCAGACGAAATGATTCATCAACGCGAAGGGCCGCGAGAGGATGGGTCACCCCACTGTCTGCGGCTCAGGCTCCCCCGCCCCGCCGGCCCCGGGCCCGGCTCCTTACACTCCGAGATGCGTGTGCGAAACGATCTTTCCGCTGGCGACAGTCGCCGGACCTGGCTCGAAGCCGAGCGCTTGCAGATACATCCAGAGATGCGCCTTCTCGAACGAGGTGACCCAGGCCGAGCTCATCTTCGCGGCCGGCGGTGTGTCACCGCCAAGGGGAAGCACAGGCCCAGCGACTCCAAGGGCCCTCAAGCCCCTTCCCTACCGGCTGCCGGAGGTGACGGCGGCCCCTCCATTGCCACGGCCTGCTCCTCTCTCGCCCGGAGGCATTTCGCCTCAAACGGCCTTTGTCTCCAAGGAGTGGCGCCTCTAACTGTGCCGCAGTACCGCCGCCCAAGCTCAGCCACCGCAAACCGAGACTCCCGCGCTTCCAGAAAAACTTCCGGGTGAAAGAGAGACTTCCGCGCCCACTAAAAGTCCCGCCAGGCAGTGCGCTCTTCTCTCGTCCGTCCCTGCCGGCTCAGTCGAGAAACTACAAGACCCACAATGCATTGCTCAGTCGAGAAACTACAAGACCCACAATGCATTGCGTGACCATTGCCTTTTTTTTGTGCGCGTGCCTACTTAGGCAGTCGCGCGGGAACTTTAGGTGTCAGCTTCTGGTCTCTGCAGTTTCTTTTTTTTCTTTTGAAGATTTATTTATTTATGCATACAAGAACTGGGATATAGGTCAGAGGTGCAGGGGGTGAGAGGATTCACCAGAGACAGAGTGGGGAACAGGACAAGGAGATTAACTGAAATACACTGCTGAGGGGAGCAGCAGGCAAGTGAGGAGAGGTCTGCTGCACCATGTGGGTCACCTCCCTGGCGGGGGGTCGAACTCGTGCTGCAGTGGCTGCGGACAGCTTCATAGCTTGCGTCTTAACCCCTTGCGCCACCAGGGAGGCCCTCTTTGCAGTTTCTTTTGCTTACTTAGACCTGTTGTGATAGATGAAAACCACAGATTGAAGCTAGTGGCTTGGTGGAGAAGGGAAAGTAGTGGTGTTATAGGACAGGGAGAGGGGCAGCCCAAACCCCACAAACCTGCCTATTCTAAATGGGTTCTGCCATCCGCCGCATCAACACAAAACATATGAGACTTTAATGGGAAGGAACTTTAATAAAACTAGGAAATAATAAAGGTAAGGCAAAGAGTCTAGTTTCTAAATGACGCACCCAAAGTGACCCATCCCCTCGTGGGTAAAAGTCCATCCATATGGGAATGGCCCAGAGCAAGGCCCCAAAGCCTGCCACAAGTCTAAAGCATCTTCCAGTGGGGACCCACAGAAAAGGGTCACAAACAAGGAGACAAGCCCGGAAGGAAAAGAGCAAAATCAACATCAAGATAAAAGCTGCCATTGTCACCTCCCCATGGGTCTCACCCACATCTGTGTCACCCAGTCCACAACCAAAAGATAAGCGCAGTTTCTTCACGTGTCTCTAGGCTCCATGCGCCTCCTCCAGGTCTCCTGGCTCCATCCTGCTTCCTTCCTCAGTCTCTTCTGCAGCTTCTCCTCTCCCTACTCAGCTCCACCCTCCCTTGGGTGGGGCAGGGAACCTCCCCCTTTCCTGGGGACCACCCTGTTACAGTGGGTTCCATCTTCAGCTAGTCTCAGTAGTTGTGTGACCCTGTTTAAGTCTCCTAACCTCTCAATCAGGTCTATATTAGCAAAATCATTTAGGTCCTCTGTTGCTGAATGTGCCTTGCAACTTGCTCTATCTGAAATCTAATTCTTCCCTAATCATCATACAGTTTCCCTCTCAGCAGCCCTCTTGGTGATTTTTCTTTTCCACAACCTATATACAATAGGGGCTGAAAATGTGATGGTTGTTCTACTTACTTCTGTTGTTATCACAGGCAATTATTGCCTCACTAATATCTGTGCCTCCTCCGAAGTTTATGCTCACCCACAAATTTTCCTTTTGCAGTTTTTCTATGAAATTTCCGGATGGCTGAATCTCATTCTGATAAGATTTAGCACTTAATTCTCTGTCTCTCCAACATTATTACTCCAGAGATCATCTTTAGTGGTTTTGATGAAGGACAAGAATAGAAAAACTGGAAAGGAAGCCTCACAAGACTAAAACCTGACTCACACAAGGAGGTGAGGGTGGGGGTGGGGGGAAAAACATGACTATTAACCCAGCTGTAGAGGTTGTGACCCTTAGGCACCAATGCCTTATCACAAGGCATGAGACCCAAGCAGGATCAGATGCTATAGGAAATGGAGCACAGGCCTGAAGGTAAAGATGTGGAGATTGGTCCCACCCTGGAATCTTTGGTCCATTTCGAGTTTTCCCTGTTACCGAACATCAGCAACAAGCAGGCCACTCCACGGAGGACTGACCCCTCCCAAAGAGAAAAAGAATATATCAGTACAGTCTCCGCACAGGCTTGGTGCAGCACTCCCTCTGCCCACCTGTGACTATGGAGGTGCTTCTTTTTTTTTTTTTTTATAGAGGCATGTTTTATTTATTTATTTATTTATTTGTTTGTTTTGTTTGTTTATGCAAGCACTGGGTACAGTCAGAAGCGTGGGAGGGTGAGAGAATTCACCAGAGCCAGAGTGGGGAGCAGAGCAGGCAGAGGGACCGAAGTACACTGCTGAGGGGAGCAGCGGGCGGCAGGAGAGGGCTGCGCGCCTCTGGTGGCCAGGGAGCAGCCGGGGATCGAACTGGCGTCGCAGAGGCCGCGGGCAGCTTCACAACCCAGCGCTCAACCGCTGCGCCACTGGGGAGACCCTGGAGGTGCTTCTTTTCACCAACTCTCTCCCTCATCAAATACAAATATCCATAAGTTCATTTATATGAACACATTCTCATTTTTATGGTAATTATTTCCTTGTGTTGTTTTGCAGTTTTACTACTTAAATGTGCTTCCACCAGACACTGTACTGCACTCTTTTTTATATTTGTCTTGCCTTCTTTCTTTTAGTCTTTTAAAAAACAGCGTAATTTAATATACAGGTTCTCCAACATCCATACCTCTCCTCTTATAATTTATCTATTGAAGAACTGGAGCTATCTGACCTAAAAAATTTCCCACAGTCTGGGTTTTACTGATTGTATTCTCATGGTAGACTCAACATATCTTTAATCTCTTTATTTCTTTCAAATTGGCATCTGGATCCAGAGGATTGATCAAACTCTGGTATGACCTCTTTGGAAAGACTAGAAATGATGGTTGGTGCATGCTTTATCACCAAGCAACACATAATAGCTTTATGCCATTATCAGGCATTGATGGGGGCCTTCCTGATGGTGCAAGGGCTTAAGTCTCAGACTATGAAGCTAACCACAGCCACTACAGCACAGAATTTGATCCCGGCCAGGGAAGTTACCCACATGGCACAGCAGCCCTCTCCTGCCTCTCCCACTGCTACCCTCAGTAGTGTATTTCAGTCAGTCTTCCTGTTCTACTCCCCATGCTGTCTCTGGTGAATCCTCTTGCCCACGCACCTCTGGCCTGTACCTCGTTCTTGTATGCATAAATAAATAAATCTTTTTTTTAAAAAAAAGGCACTGATAGAGGATATCAAAATGCTGAAATTATAATTTATCATTTTTTTATAGACTGATGTTTGTGTCCCCTCTGTCAGTTCATATGTGAAACCCCTCCTCCTCCAAAGGCTCTTATAAAGATGGTACTAAAGATTAAAGGTAAAAAGGATGGAACCCTTATGAATAGAACCAGTGCCCTTATAGGACTTACAAAAGAGCCTGCTTGCTCTTTCCACTGTCATCTCCACAGGGAGATACAAAGAGAAGTTAGCTCTCTGCAACCCAGGAGGAATCTCTCCCTAAAAGCCAACCATGCTGCACCCTGATCTCAGACTTGCAGTCTCCAGAACTGAAAAATAAATTTTTGTTGTTTAAAAGACTTGATCGAAGTCTTGCTTATAAGTCTTGCTATAAAATTCGTTATAGCAGTCCAAACTGACTAAGACATCATTGTTAGTGAGGATATTTTTATGAGAGAAGTTTTTCCTCATTTACTACCTAAAGGGAAAGATACAAGAAAATGAAGGATATAATCATGATTCTTTCCCTTATTTTACCAGTTTATTTTTAATCGGTTTTCAAATTGTAAATTGTTTTCTTATCATTCCCTGAAGGTGACTATTAGGTGATTAAATATATACAAGTTAGTGTGTGTGTGTGTGTGTGTGTAAGTTAATGTGTGTGTGTGTGTAATGAACCCATGGCTATTTGTATTTTATGAGGCTCAAGTTGCAATTATTAAGCTGATTGAAGTTCAAATTGTCCCATGTTTGGTCACTGGAAACCTCCTCAAATTGGCTTCCTTGTTTTATGAAACATCAAGAAGTTCAAGTTTTATTTTGTACATTTCCTCTCTCAGACATTAAATGAGTCATTTTTTTCCAAGGAGCACTGGGTTCTTTTAGCAGAAAAAATGTATTTCAAAACTACAACCTCACCACTAGGAATGCTCATATATACTTTGTTGGTCATTGTTTCTACCCTTAGGCTAGCGGAAAGCAAAGACCCTTGACTAGCAGATCCACTGAGAACACCTCAAAAAACAAGAGGGTGCTATAGTCAAAAGAAGTAGAAATGAATGGGAGAAGGGAAAAAAATGATCACAATATCAGTTTAACAAAAACACTTTAATTGAAGATTATACAGACCAATTTTAGTTATTTAAAATGGCATAAGATGTAGAACTAGGATACAAAATTTTAAATAAATCAGTATTTCATTACCATTAAGACCAAATAGCCAAATAGTAAATCAAAACTCCCCTAAGCCACCGTTTAAACACATGAGCAAATATGAAGTTTAACGTGACAAAAATTGTATATTCTTTCAGGAGTATCTTTTGTTAGTTATTTAACATTTTGCCTGTAGAGGACTCAGAGTTATTAGCATGTGAATGATCTGATTCATCCTCCTCTTCCACGGCTATAATATCTGGAATTTCATCAGTCTCAGATGTCAAATCCATGGCAGTGAAATCAAATACCTGTAAAAGAAGAATCTTGGATATTAAAACAAATACTAATGAAGTAAGCTTTCAAGTCCAGGTGAGCCCATGGAGACATTAATTACTGCATGTGAATGAATCTTACTTTGTCCATACTTGTGCTTTCCAACCAGATGTTTTTTGTTTGTTTGTTTGTTTGTTTGTTTGTTTGTTTGTTTGTTTTTTGGTGGGACCCTTGCCGGTGGCCGGGGATCGAACTGGCGCTGCAGAGGCCGCGGGCAGCCTCGCAACCCTGCGCTCTACCGCTGTGCCACCAGGGGAGGCCCGACCAGATGTTTGTAGGTTTATTCCTCCAATTCACTATTATAAGGAATCTTCTTAAGAAAGAAACTAGTGGTAGAACTTAATGAATGCAAGCTTTTTTGAATGTATAATATATAAAACATGTCTGCTTATTCACCTGTTTATCCACTATTCTCTTAAAAAAAACTATAATATTCCAGTT